GTTTTTAAGAGAGTTGGGAGAGGCCTTCTATTTCACTGGTGCACATGCAAATTTAGCTCACATTTTAAAAATAACAGAGCAGTAACATTTGTGCTCAAATTAAACAGAGAGATAGTTCCCCTCCATGCACACACCTTTTTGTGATGGTTCTTTTTGCGGGTTGCCATATTTCAAACAGTGAAAATCCAGAGAGAAAAGTTGTTAAGCTTCTTTGGGCAAAATCACACCAAAAAATGTGCCATTTTTGAGCTATTTTTATGAAGAAATGGCCCCAGGAAAGTTTGCCATTATACACTTTTAGGCTCCAGGCAAAAATGTTCCTTTTTAACCAGGCCTTTGGTTGACTTGATTGACATCCTATGCCCTTTTAAAATGTGGCTTTGGGGGAAGTTATTGGGTTATTTTTTAATTTTTTTATTATATATCTTGTGATTTTATATTTTGATTTTGTTCTGTGAACCGGCCTGAGACCTCTGGGTATAGGGCAGTATATTTATTCAATCAATCAATCAATCAATCAATCAAACAAACAAACAAACGGCACTGCCGACATAGGCTGCCATACATCTGGATTTTCTCAGACATTTTTCCCGATTTCTGCTCAGACACTGCTAGAGACAGCTGGATTCTTTATATGTCTGGGAAATTCTGGACTTATGGCAACCCTATTTTTGCCATTGTTTTTAAAGATACTGTTTTTAAAGATGAGGTGAGACCTTTAACAAACACAGGGCACTGGAATACCAAAGCAATCTGTATGCTTTGTAATGACAGCAAGGACACTCAGGGGCGATCATGTCAGTGACTATGTGTCAGCAGAGAAGTTTCCCAGAGCATCAGATTCCATCTGTCTCCAAAGACGGACCAACTCAGGGTTCCCTACTCTTGCAGAGGGAGTAGCTATATCCAGCCCAAACCTCATCAGGGAATGGTTCATCTGTGAGAACGAACTCACAGTGAATCCACCTATCAATGGAGTATTACCAGTCCACTCTGAGGTGAAGATCAGAGAAAAGGGATCCCTGATTACATGTGTTGAACTGCTGATGTACTGAGACATCCGCATGGAGGTTGTGAAGTCCCATCAAATCCCATCCACTAATGTGGATGGGAAACATTGCAAGTAATTCAATGCTGGAATCTTCTGATTGTTCCATCAGTGCAAGCACATCAGATCTGATGTGCAAGATAACACGCTCACACCTGTGATGTACTGATGAATATGTAAATGATATTGTATAAAAATGGGAGTAAGCATATGATAGTATGTATGGTGTTAGATGTGTGGGTAAGTATATTAGGTGAATGGGGGCAAGTGTGGAAATCTAGGTCACCTCCAGCATCTTTGTGCTGAAGCCTCAGTGACCACTGGAGAGGCCTCCTCAGGGCCCTCACAAAAGATTAAACTCTGTAAAGTGAGGTTTGAGAAAGTTATATATGTGTCAGCTTAGAATAGAATCATAGAATCATAGAGTTGGAATAGACCACAAGGGCCATCGAGTCCAACCCCCTGCCAAGCAGGAAACACCATCAGAGCACTCCTGACATATGGTTGTCAAGCCTCTGCTTAAAGACCTCCAAAGAAGGAGACTCCACCACACTCCTTGGCAGCAAATTCCACTGTCGAACAGCTCTTACTGTCAGGAAGTTCTTCCTAATGTTTAGGTGGAAACTTCTTTCTTGTAGTTTGGATCCATTGCTCCGTGTCCGCTTCTCTGGAGCAGCAGAAAACAACCTTTCTCCCTCCTCTATATGACATCCTTTTATATATTTGAACATGGCTATCATATCACCCCTTAACCTCCTCTTCTCCAGGCTAAACATGCCCAGCTCCCTTAGCCGTTCCTCATAAGGCATCGTTTCCAGGCCTTTGACCATTTTGGTTGCCCTCCTCTGGACACGTTCCAGTTTGTCAGTGTCCTTCTTGAACTGTGGTGCCCAGAACTGGACACAGTACTCCAGGTGAGGTCTGACCAGAGCAGAATACAGTGGCACTATTACTTCCCTTGATCTAGATGCTATACTCCTATTGATGCAGCCCAGAATTGCATTGGCTTTTTAGCTGCCGCGTCACACTGTTGGCTCATGTCAAGTTTGTGGTCAACCAAGACTCCTAGATCCTTTTCACATGTACTGCTCTCAAGCCAGGTGTCACCCATCTTGTATTTGTGCCTCTCATTTTTTTGCCCAAGTGCAATACTTTACATTTCTCCCTGTTAAAGTTCATCTTGTTTGTTTTGGCCCAGTTCTCTAATCTGTCAAGGTCGTTTTGAAGTGTGATCCTGTCCTCTGGGGTGTTAGCCACCCCTCCCAGTTTGGTGTCATCTGCAAATTTGATCAGGATGCCCTTGAGTCCATCATCCAAGTGGTTGATAAAGATGTTGAATAAGACCGGGCCCAAGACAGAACCCTGTGGCACCCCACTAGTCACGCTTCTCCAGGATGAAGAGGAACCATTGATGAGCACCCTTTGGGTTCGGTCAGTCAGCCAGTTACAAATCCACTGAGTGGTATCATAGTCAAGACTGCATTTTACTAGCTTCTTTACAAGCTTCTTTACTTCTTTAAAACCCTTGACTCTGAGCTAAGTGAGGAGCTTTTAATGAACAGCATGTACTGGACCACACTAGATATACTAGTCTCACAGATTATCCTTTCCAAACAACAAACCTAGAAGGTGCTTATGGAAGGTGCAGTTGAGATCCTGATAGCTGAGGTAAAGTTTTCTTGGAGTGGAAAGAAGGAAGCTATGAAGTTAGTTGCACATCAAGGCCTCGCACCCCCTCCTTTGATGAATAAAAACATGTGGACACCAGTATTTTAGGTTAATGGGCAAAAAAGGCCACAACTTTTATTGGTTACAGAATGTGAGTGGTATTGGCTTTAGGCACTGGACCCAAAACGACTTTATCTGACTCCTGCCTGCCATGCAGGAAGTCTAACAAGGGTTAACTACCTGTAGGGGGAACCCTGTTGATGTACATCACCTCAGAGCTCCCCCGGGGTCACCGGAAAGGTCATGCCACGGCCCTAGCCACCACCCAGGCTTTGGACAGGAACCATGACCCCAGGATTCCTTTAACGGAACACCCTTAAAGGGGAGGGGCAGGTGATAGCCACAACCTCCCCTCTCATAAACCAAGCTTTTCCAGTGCCTAACCGCCAAATCTTACAAAGTTGTGATGATTTGCTACAAGGTAGGTGAAAACCAAGTGGCTGGTGCCAGTTTGCCAAGTGGAAAAAGTCCTACCAGGCCCCTCAACGGCACCCAACCAAGGTCCAAAGCACAAGAAGGAGCTCCCGGCTGTGCAGCCGCTTAAATGCGACAAGCCATGCACCCAGCCAGCCATACTGGCCTGCTGCAGACATGACACATGCCGGGACTCCCCTGTGACATGGGGGCCTAGACACTGCTTAGGGCAGGAAGCGCGAGGCCTGTGCGCAACCCCACCCATCCCTGAAGATGAGCAGCTTTGTAAACTCTGATCAAGATGAGCCAAAAATTTTAGGCAACGATGGGAGCAGGAGAGAAGGTCAAAGCTGCAGAGGCAAACCTGGACACAGTATTCCAGGTGCGGTCTGAAGAAAGCAAAATAAAGCAGTACTCTTACTTCCCTTGATCTGGACACTATACTTCTGTTGATGCAGCCTGGAACAGCATTACCGTAGCTTTTTTTTTTACTGCTGCATCACACTGTTGACTTACGTTGAGCTTGTGGTCTACTAAGACCCCTAGATCCTTTTCACAGGTGTCCCACATCTTATATTTGTGCTGCTGGTCCTTCCTGCCTAAGTGCAGAACCTTACATTTGTCCCTGTTGAAATTCATCTTGTAAGGGACCAGTTCACCAATCTGTTAAGGTCATCTTGAATCCCAATTTTGTCCTCCCAGTTTATGTCATCTGCAAATTTGATGAGCATCCCTTCAATTCTTTCATCCAAGTCATTTATAAATGATGACGAGGAACCATTAATGAGCACTTTTTGGATTCATTCAGTCAACCAGCTACAAATCCACCTAAGTTACCTTGTCCAGTCCACATTTTACCAGCTTTTCTGCAAGACTATCATGGGGGATAATTAGGCATGGTATGTTTGAAGAAGAGTGGTTTCCCTTTTTTACGTTTATTAATAAAGGCCTGTACTTTTTTAAACCACAAGGAACTCAGAAATAATTTGGGAAGAACTTGATGAACTGAAAAGCTGGCTATGCAACTTCCTGTTCAGGAAGCCACAGGATGAAATGTGACTCTTGAGTGGTGTTCACATCATACATTTAAAGCATAGTTGGTTGATTGGCACCCGTCTGTCTCGGGGCGCAATGGAAAAGTGTACCTTCAGGGGTGAAATCAAACCAGTCATGGCTTCCCCCAAAGACTCTTGAGAGCTCTGGTTTGTTAAGACCCCTCTCCCTCTCCTAGGGCTACAGTTCTCACAGTGGCTTAACAATCACTGCCTCTTTGCAGGGAACTCCGGGAACTGTAGCTCTGGAAGGCAGAGATTTACTAACAACCCTTAGCACCTTTAACAAACAACTCCCAGAATTCTTTGGGGGAAGAAGCCATGACTGTTTAAAGTGGCATAAAAGTACTTTAAATGTGTGGTGTGAATGTGGCCTAGATTGCTTTCTACTCCTACACTTCATGGAGAACTATGTATTGTTTAGTCACTGTTGTTTTTTATTATCATAAATAAAATTACAATAAATAAAATAAATGTTAATGGACTGCTATTGCTTATCTTAGGTTCTATGTTCTATGTTTCAATATTTATATATGACTAGAAGTATGTTTATTAATAAAAATAGAAAATTAACTCTCACTAATTTTGCTCAGGTGTAACCCAAACACAGCTGATGTTCCCTTATATACCAAGATATTGAATCTGCCACAAACCATTTTAAAAGGAAGAGAAACCAAAGAAAATAGATGAAATGAAACCTGAGGGCAGGAGGAAGATTTGTATTTCAAGTGAGCATCTCACTTTCTTCAGTGTAGACCATGTATGACGACACAGGTGTATCAAGCAGAGGAGAAGATCTCCAGCTGTATGGGTCTTGCCGTCCCCTACCCCAACAACCCGTAAGGAAAACTGGAATTGTAGAAGGTATTTTTTTTGCTAAAATATGGTCAGCAGGGGAGCAAGAGAGGTGCTATGTATTATGAAGTTACTCCTTCCACCCACCCATGCCTTCTGGGATAGAAGCGTCTCAAGCTTAGCAAATGGACAGTTGAGGTTTGCTTTAAAGCATAAGGTGCTGGACTAAAGTTAATTAGATAAACTTGGGATGTGTTTTGGGGTGGGGGGAAGCGACAGCCCACCTTCTGAAGCATGAGTGTAGGGGCGAAGAAGAAATAGGCGTGGACTCAGATTCAAGAGCAAAAAAAAAAAAAAGATTGTGGGAAGCAGAGCTCACCTGCTACAACTGGGAAGAGGAGCGTACCAGCTCCCGTTGATATCTGTATTGGTACATTCCAAAAGTTAACTCTGTCCACCCGCCTGTCTAGACGAATATGAAGACTTTGACAAAGAGAGCGACTATGACAGCATCTTGGTGCCTCAGGAAATGGAGGAGCCAAAGGCACTGCCTGAACCACCAGGTATGAGAAGAACGGACCCTTGGTTGCTTCAGTGTTGCTGCCCTCTGTTGGCTATTATGCATATGGGAAGACTGGGATGGCAGCTATGCGTACATTACAGTTGCCACACTGTGGCCTTGTAACGGTGGCCTTGTTAATTACAGCTAACCATAGTTTATAAGCCATGGTTAATAGGGTTGCCATATTTCAAAAAGTGAAAATTCGGACACTAACTTCTTTCTTTGCAAAATTGCAAATAAATATGACAACACTGCTGACATGGGTTGCCATACTTCTGGATTTTCCTAGACATTTTGCTGATTTCCACCGGGACACTGCTTCCGGTTGCAGTATTCCAGATATGTCTGTGAAATTCCGGACGTATGGCAACCATACTGGTTAACATATTGCAGACAATCACTCAGGCCATGGCTTTTTTGTATCCACAGCATAGCTTATATCACCCTTACAATTACCCCAGCTTCTCCACAGTTCCAGCATGCTATCCTGAATGCCTTTGTGGCACCCTTACACTGGCAACGCCTTACCATGGCAGCAGCAGCAGCAGCAGCAGCAGCAGCAGCCTGCTTGCTATTGGTTTCTTTTTTCCTGAAGTTGCCATTCTGAGCTGTTTCAAATCTCTCCCTCCCTCTTTCTCTCTCTCTCTCCACCCAGCCACAGCTCAATGCACCTTAACTCTAGCCCGATGGACCTTAACTCCAGCCCAATGGAAAGGCTCTTGGAGAAACTGCCTGGTTCTGCTCCTGGCTCTTGTGGGTTTCCTGATTGGCATCATTCTCCTTGTACAGCGTGAGTGCAAGAAGTAGGAGGGGTGTTCATGTGTGTCAAGACACACTGTGGAGCACCCCAGCTTCAAGAGATAAAAGCAGTGAGGGACTGGGACTCAAAAGGGAAAGAAGATTTATATGTACACGTATATGGTGTACCGTGGTGCTGCAGCAAGGAAGGAAAGGAAGGGCTGCGTACAAACAAATGGGCTTCATGTCTCTCTGTGGTTTGGCTGGCATCTCCCAAGACTGTCATCTTCGCAAGTTTCAGATCTCAGTAATTACACTGGAAGTTGGGGGGGGTAGGTCAATCCCTTTGGCTGAGCCTTGGTAAGTGCAAGGCCAGTCACAGTACCATTGGAGGGGCTGTGTGCCTCACAGAACCCAGCAGTCCCACTCCCAAGTCAGAGAGTGTGACCAACAGAGGGAAATGGGGAATTCCTGACTGAATCCCCTGTATTCTGTCACAGGCTGTGGCTATAGGGCGAGCTGCGTGGGCAGGGCTGGGCTCTTCACATATATTCTAGCTCCCCACCTTGAATATTTAGCTTTCATTTGAAAAGAAGCATCTAGTATTTTTACTACAGAAGTTATAAGGAAGGCCATGCATGCAGTATGCTACTTAAATGTTCAGAAAGAAGTGAACTGGGAAGACGTAAACTGGCCTGTGAATGCAAAGGCACTGGGATAACTGACCCATATTTTTCTCTCTCTAAAATATGAAATTACATTTCATTTTATTGGTATTTAATACAGTGGTACCTCAGGTTACAAACACCTCAGGTGTTTGTAACACTTTGGGTTACAAACTCCGCTAACCTGGAAGTAGTACATCGGTTTAAGAACTTTGCCCCAGGATGAGAACAGAAATTACGCGGTGGTGGCGGCGTGGCAGCAGAGGGAGGCCCCCTTAGCTAAAGTGGGACCTCAGGTTAAGAACGGTTTCAGGTTAAGAACAGACCTCAGGAATGAATTAAGCTCGTAACCCGAGGTACCACTGTAATGTTAAATAACTTTACACATATTGGCTTTGCATTCCTGTTGTTCTGTAATGATCCCTTCCCTGTATGCTTAGGTTCCTTCCCCATAAAATGTCTGACTGCAGACCTGCCTCTGGAGGAAACAGCAACAATGGTGTGGGGCTCCAGGGTGGCTCATGCAATGATGCCCATCTCTTGCCCTTCTAGATGCCGCCATCTTCTCTGAGCTTGGGAAGCTGAATACCAGCTGCCCACAGGAAAGCTGTGATGTTTCAATCATCCCTCTAACAGCTGACAAATTGAAGACCGCTTTTCTGAAAGAACTTAAAGCTTTAGAAGAACGTAATTACAAGAGGAGTGAAGCAACTGATAGAAAAGTGGAGGAACAAATATCTAAATTGGATGGAAAAATAAATGCATTGGAAAATAGAGGTATGTACGAGAGGAACAAGAGGTAAGCAACTGATATAGAAAAGCAAAAAGCATCACTGAACAGAATTTATCCACGGAAACCTCTGGTCAAATCTATTTGACAAACTGGGGCTCCATGCAGGGATAGTAGAGGGGGGGGACGTCCCAACCTCCATGTTTTAGACCACATTATGACAATTCCTAACCCTGAGATGTGTCTTGCCATCTTAGTGGTTCTAATCCCAAATAGCGATGTATAAAGAGACATCCTATCTTTGTTGCAATCAGAACTGTTTCTGTTCTGCTACAGTTCAGCTTGCACTCCAGTTAATCAATCTTCCCTTTACTGCCACTATTATTATTGATAGTTTCCATATAAAACTTTTCCCTCTTTCAGAAATCTGCAGGAGGACTAACCCTTTATCCTGGCATGAGTTTCTAGGAAGTTGCTACTACTACTCAGAAGACGAAAAACAATGGGAAGATGCCAGAAAATTCTGCATTACTATCAGTTCCCACCTGGTTATTATTAACAGCAAGCGTGAGCAGGTCTGAGCAGCACCTTTGGTCGTAAGGCGCATTTGCTCTGTTCATTCATAAAACTGTCTTTTGCTTGGCCCTGTAGTTATACTCTATCCAAACCAGATTTTCCTAAGAATTCAAGCAGCTTCCAGTTCCTAGCTGTTGCTTTCCTCAACCTAGGAAATATATGGGTAGAGAAGAGGATAGGGAAACCTAAGCAAATACATCACCACTCTGGTAATTCATTTTTAATTTTTAAAATCAGCTAACGTATTGTCACACATATCAGTTCTGAGTGGGCAGGTTTTACAGGTCTTGCACTTATTCTGTCTGTCACGGTCCAGTCTATGGGTCAAAGTCCTGCCAGAGGATGTTGGGGCCGGGGGCAAGATGGCGGGGTGGGAGCAGGAACAAGAGTCCAGAAGCCAGGGGTCCAAGGGTCAGGAAGCAGGGAGTCACAAAGTCAAGGGTCTGAGGGTTGAGAAGCAAGGAGTCAAGAAGCCGAGGTCCGAGGATCAGGAAGCAAGAAGCCGAACGCAGCAAGGCAGGAACCAAGTTGCTGTGGCAAAGAGCCAAAGGGAAATGCTGACCTTATATCCCTTCCTGGCTCTTGCGACCAGGTGCAGTGAGTTAGCAAGCGGCCTCACCTGTGCGGCCGCACCTTGCCTCTCCAGAACAAACTTAGGAAGGCCCCAGTCTTGTGAAGCCCTACTGGTCACAGGGCCTGGCTCCTGCATGCACTCCTGACACTATCTGTTTACTGCTATCTGTTTATATCCCACCTTCCCTCCAAGTAGCCTAAGGCCACATAGATGTTTCTCTCCCCTACCCACCCACAAATTGATAGCATCATCCTCTGCAGGGAGCAGAAATGGAGGCAAAAGGCCAGCCATTCAGGGTGCCTCCAGATGGTCCCTATTTTGTGGGAGAGATTCAAGTGTACACCAGAAATTTAGGTGTGCACCATTAAGGTTGATTAAAGTCCTTTGTCACCCTAGTGCAACAAATCCACCCTAGTGCAAGAAAAAACAGGCTTTTGTAGTTCTCAAAGAGAATGTGTAGGCCCTACAAACCAGAATAAATGCTGAATAAAGACTAGACATAGCCTAATCTCCATGTAAGCTGTGTGCAAGCAAATCATGAATGCTCAGTAAACTGGTCGTGTGGAGGAGACCCTCGGGCCATCAGTGACAATCCTTAGAACAAACAGGAATATGCAAGTATAGGCATAGAATCATAGAAATTTAGACTTGAAATGGACCACTAGGATCATCAAGTCCAACCCCCTGCAATACAGGAATCTTTTCGCCCAACGAGGGGCTCGAACCCATGACCGAGTGACAGGATTGGGGTGGCAGAATTCTTGAGCAATCATTCAGGCCAATCTCCTGAATGCATTTTTATCACAGCAACATATTGCAGCTAGGCAGACTATGGATTTCATGTGCTACAGCATTTGTGAAGGTGCTACATGTTTTTCTTCCTAGAATTTTGTGGTTACAAAAATAAAGCTCACCTCGGTCTGGATTGGCATAAGTGATGCAGTGAACGAGGGAGCGTGGCAGTGGGTTGATGGAACAGCACCAACAGAAAGGTATGTGGATGATACCTAGCTCTTCTTTCTGGACCCCTTACAGGGAAAAGGCAGGGGGCAGAACGGTGTCAGGAATTCCCAGGAGCCACATAGCCATTCCTCTTTTGCCCTGCAGCCTCCTGCACCCCTGAAAGCTTCTCAAGGGGGTTCATGGGGTGTGGGGCGGGGGAATAACAATGTGGAATGCAGCTCAGGGGACTGTTGTGGGGAGAGAGGATTGCATAACCCTGGCCAGAGCAACATCCCACATTGTTTATTACTCTGGAGCAGCTTTTCTGGGAGGCAGAAGGATGGAGAGGAAAGAAACTTTCTTTCTGTTACGCTCCTTCCATAGGATTCAATCCCTTGACTTGATCTAGTGGAGCTGCTCAAGCAGCTGAACCAACTATTCTAGCTGCTTTCCTAGATACGGGGCTCATCCAGACTTTTGTGCTGTGTTTCTAGGCACAGGTCTGGGCTATAAAGCTCTGGGTCCAAAAGTCTTGCTTGTTTGTTCTTCGTTCAGGCGCTTTCCCTGAGGAAACCCACATTTAACCGCTGAATTGGAGCAAACGGCAAGCGGGTTTTTATCAGTTTGCCGTTTGCCCCAATTCAGAGGTAAAACGTGGGTTGTCCCAGAGACTGACACCCCTCCCCCCTGCTCAGACAGAGCTTTCAAGTGTGAAGCTGAAATATGGGACGAAAGGAAGTCTGAAAGAGCTGCAGTTTCAGGTTAAGAACGGACCTCCAGAACGAATTAAGTTCTTAACCCGAGGTACCACTGTACATGGTTATCATTCACTGCCACTTTGAGGCATTACCCCTCCTCCTGTTTTTTCACTCTCCCATGTCATCCCTCCCTTTTTGACCAGCTTTGTATAGTATATTTGCTCTCCAGAGCACAACGAGGTGTGATTTGTGATCAGGCGGTCCCCAACTTTGGTTCCCTACAAATGTAGAAGGCATCCACATAATTCAGCAAGTCTCTTCTGCAGTGATTTCACAATTCTGTACTAACTGTGCTTCTCTGTTACAGGTTCTGGAGGCAAGGAGAGCCCAACAATAATGATGGTGTGGAAAATTGTGCTGTCCTTTATAAGGAGGGTAATTGGAATGACATTGACTGTAATTTAAAAGTCCACTTTGTCTGTGAGAAGCCAACAGGTTGCAATTGCTAAAAAAAAAAAAATGAAGGAGATCTTTCTATATGGGATCCTTGACACAAGCTTCAAGGAGTTCACATCTCTTAAATATAGCTGGATATTCCCTAAATGACCAAAGCTTTGTGAATGTTTGGGACCATCATTAGTGTGGCATGTGTTGTCTAGATGTCTTTGGGCAACAGCCACCTCCAATCATTGTCCAAATACATGGAACTCTTGGCTAACCTATCAAATGAAAATGGTTGCAAGCCCTCAGTTAGGGTGTTCCACAGCAGGGTTGTCTTAACACTATGCAAAGTTGTTCCCACCTTGGCTGCAGATGAATTAGGAGTGACTAAAAGCATCCAACTGGGATGGAGCTGATTTAAGAAACAACACATTAGGATGTGTTCGCCATCCCATTTACTGCGGCACTCACTTCATTTCCAGTGCTGGGTTTTAAATCCATTTTAACACGATGTTATCCAACATGCATATGTATCTTGTACTTTATTACAGTTTGAAGCATTGTTTCCTAAACCAGCTTCACACTGATTGGAGTGCTGTTCTGAGGGTTCGCCCAACTCCCAGAGCCAATATCAGAGGGGCACAAGAGGGGAGGAGGGGAAACCCCTTTGCACACATGGAAGTCCTTGCACAGGGTAAGGACAAGACCCTTAGGTGAATCCCTCCTCTGGTAAGAAAGTACAGGAAACATAAGCACTTGGATAATGTTATATGAACACAGATAAATACCGGTAACTTAGCACTGGAAATGCAGTGAGTGCACCATAAACGGGAGTGTGAACACAGGCTTAGTCTGCAGTTATGTCTTTCACAAACAAACTGTTCAGTCTGCTTTATATCATCCCTTCCTGAGAAGATAGCTTTCCCTGTTCTACCTTTTTGTACCTATTGTTCTTTTCAGGGTCCTACCTGCTACCTTGCTAGCATATGGGTAAAAGCACCAGGGATGGACTTACTAAATGTATAATAGCAATTGCAGTTCTTGTGGTCACATCCACACCATAGCATTCATTTACCACTCCCCAGAGAAGTATGGGAGCTGTAGTTTGTTAAACTTGCTGGAAACTCCTAATTAATCTCTTCACCCTTAACAAACTACAGTTCCCAGGATTCTTTGGGGGAAGCCATGGTGTTAAAGTGGTATTGTATGTAGAATTCCTTATCATTGTTTATAATCCTCAGGACCTTTTCAACAGTACAGTTTCTAAGTGAGTGCTTTCCCACTTTATTCCTGGGCCATTGGGCTCTAACCTTATCTTCCAATTTATACCCCACAAATCCCATCCAATTTGTGTTAATCTGCAAATTTGTGGAATACTTTCCACTCAAAATTCTTATTCCTAAAAATAGCAAAACCACCCACAAAGCCTCGCTGAAGCACTCCTTCCAATTGATCACTCAAGTAAGCACCTACCTGGAGATAGTCATAGAATCATAGAGTTGGAAGAGACCACAAGGGCCATCGAGTCCAACCCCCTGCCAAGCAGGAAACACCATCAGAGCACTCCTGACATATGGTTGTCAAGCCTCTGCTTAAAGACCTCCAAAGAAGGAGACTCCACCACACTCCTTGGCAGCAAATTCCACTGTCGAACAGCTCTTACTGTCAGGAAGTTCTTCCTAATGTTTAGGTGGAATCTTCTTTCTTGTAGTTTGGATCCATTGCTCCGTGTCCGCTTCTCTGGAGCAGCAGAAAACAACCTTTCTCCCTCCTCTATGTGACATCCTTTTATATATTTGAACATGGCTATCATATCACCCCTTAACCTCCTCTTCTCCAGGCTAAACATGCCCAGCTCCCTTAGCCGTTCCTCATAAGGCATCGTTTCCAGGCCTTTGACCATTTTGGTTGCCCTCCTCTGGACACGTTCCAGTTTGTCAGTGTCCTTCTTGAACTGTGGTGCCCAGAACTGGACACAGTACTCCAGGTGAGGTTTGACCAGAGCAGAATACAGTGGCACTATTACTTCCCTTGATCTAGATGCTATACTCCTATTGATGCAGCCCAGAATTGCATTGGCTTTTTTAGCTGCCGCGTCACACTGTTGGCTCATGTCAAGTTTGTGGTCAACCAAGACTCCTAGATCCTTTTCACATGTACTGCTCTCAAGCCAGGTGTCACCCATCTTGTATTTGTGCCTCTCATTTTTTTTGCCCAAGTGCAATACTTTACATTTCTCCCTGTTATAATTCATCTTGTTTGTTTTTGCCCAGTTCTCTAATCTGTCAAGGTCATTTTGAAGTGTGATTCTGTCCTCTGGGGTGTTAGCCACCCCTCCCAGTTTGGTGTCATCTGCAAATTTGATCAGGATGCCCTTGAGTCCATCATCCAAGTCGTTGATAAAGATGTTGAATAAGACCGGGCCCAAGACAAGAGGAGTTTGTTCTAGCCCACATTAGAATAGGTCATCCAAAGGACATGTAAGTGGTCCTTTTAATCTAGTGCATAACTGGCAGCATTATAACAATGTCTGAAGCAGCTGTAATGCTAATCCGAGGTATCAACTCTTTCTTAAAGTCTTTGATGTCCTATATAACCTATATCTAGGAGTGTGTCTCACTTATTTTGAGCATTATGTTCAGAGTTTGATGTCAAAATTAAAAATCACAATGGGGAAAATCTGAGTTTTTGGAGTCTTTTTTAGAACTGCTTACAGGGATCACCAGCCTCTTTGAACTGATGGGTACACAAGACACCCAAGCACACTCAACAATCTATTCTAACAGATTCCTTCAAATCAATTTTCAGCCCTTCAGCCTACTGATTCAATCTATTCATTCAAGTCAAATTTCAGCTGGGGGAGGGGACCCTGTGAGTATCAGGAAATGTCTCAGTAGACACTGAGCGTGCCAATACTGTGTTGGTAACTCCTAGTGTAGCACTATCTAAGAGTATACAAGCAGGGCTCCTGTATACAGAGCTTGTGGCTGAGGTAGATTAAAGAAAAGTTAGCATCAAAGACATAAGCCCCTACTCTAACTTGGGCCTTACTTCATGCATTTAAAAAAATGTTTTGAACATTTAAAAATGCAGCCAGCCTGCACACATTGCATCAGTATGCAATGGTGTGATTGACCTGCTGGGAGGAGGTCTGCCCCCCCCCCCATTAAAAGTAAAATGACTTTTGCTGCAAACTGAGAGGCACAGGGGATTCCCCCCCCCTTCAAATCCAAACTGGATTCCAACCTCACCTCTGTCCTACAATGTTAACATTGGACTACATTGCAGAGCTGCTATATGCTACTGTACTCTTATCAGCAAAATCCTTCAAACTGCATTGGGAATATAACAGTGAACTACACTTCCAGGATTGTTTACTACTTTCCCAGCCCTACTGCAGTGTGAGGACCAAAGTAATGGATGTCATTGCTGAGGTGTTTGCTGTGTTGCACTGAGTTAATTATAATACATGTTAAAATGACTACAGTTCCAAAACTACTTTTTTAAATCTAAGGTGTTAAGTTCCACATTTTGCAGCACAATATACTCCCAGCTGAAAATGTTAAAAGCAGAGGCATGCGTTTTGGCTACTCTTCCCACTGTAATGGCTGTAGAGCTAGAAAAAAATTAGACATGTATATATAAGTCTCGAGTTATTTTTTTATTTGGGATCGCCATTTTACACGGGGGAGGGGCATACTATGTCTGCCACAAAGATTAAAAAAGAAAAAACCTCAGCACCACATGCCTTGAAATTCTAGCTTCAGCCCAATTACCAATCTACAGTAGAAGTGTAACCACTGGACTCCATTATACGGTTGTTGCAAACTAGACTTTCGCATAACCCTCAGTTTGCAATAGTCACTTGGGAGGGCTCCTATCTCCAAGCCACAGCTTGCAATTCCTGCAATATGGCGGTAATGTGCGGCGTTTTCTGCATTGGGATTTGCAATAGCGAGGCGGATGTTGGAAAACCATTTTTTTAAAAAGTTCCACACGCTAGCAAGAAATAAGTTTAGAAGAGAAATAAAACCGCCCTCTTTCGTGGTACATCATTCATTCACTGGACAGCATGCTGGTGTCCAGCAACAGCCACGTTTTAAAAGTGTGGTTTTTCTCCATTTATTTTTCAGGTCAGCTGCCCAGGAATATTTTAAAATGGCGTCTCACGCGGAACCAGGAAATGGCATCATCAGAGACGATGCTTCTCTCTAAACGTTTCGTAGCTCTGCGACAGCGGCATGCATTTGTTACCGGAAGCCTTTTTTAAAGGGGGGTTTACTTCCGCTTCCGGAATGGTGGAAAGGCGGGGCGGGAAATAGCAAGAGCAACCTCAGGAGGCGGGTTGGAGGCGGCCAAGATGGGGGCTCATCTGGCTCGGCGGTATTTATGGGACGCGGAGGTGGAGCCGGACCCGGTCAAGATGCCCACCTTCGACCCCCACTTCGGCTTCCCCGAGGAGCGCAAAGAACGCGGTGAGCCGAGCTGAGCTGAGCGGGGAGGGAGGGAAGAACATGGGGAAGGCGAAGGTCACCCAGCGCTTGGCTCCGCCTCTTCCCGGAGCCTTCGCCTGGCGCAGCCCTCAAGCCCAGCCTGGCCCCCCAGGCAGGCCTCGCCACCGCACTGCGAGGTAGGTTCTCTCTCCCGGGGGCGGGTGGGGGTGCGAGGGCCGGCCCAGGAGCCAAGGGGAGGCGACCGCCTCGGGCGGCAGAAGATCCGGAGTGACGCTGGACACAGACACCCTTTCCCGAGCTGGGCTCTCTCTGCTTATCTGCCAGCATCGCCGGAGAGCCCCGTTTGAGGCAGTGTTATTTAAGGACAGCTGTTTGTCGCGTTGCCGTGGTTTAAATCAGGCATAGGCAAACTCCGGCCCTCCAGATGTTTGGGACTACAATTCCCGTCATTCCTGGCCACTGGTCCTGTTAGCTAGGGATGGTGGGAATTGTAGTCGCAAACATCTGGAGGGCCGGAGTTTGCCTATGCCTGGTTTCAATCCTTCCTTTTCTCACTCTTGCATGAGAACACTTTCACAGAGACATCCATTACAAGGCATTATGTAAAAATGCTTTGGGTTGAAAGGTGTTGCACAACTGTAAAATATAGTAATAATCCAGAGGTGGCTGGGAAGCTCGCCGGATGATCCCGGGCTAGTGCCTACCTCCAGGGTGGTTGCGAGGATGAAAATGAAGGGGGCATGTTTGCCTCCCGGAATAAAAAATAAAAAAAGCTTTGCTTACGAAATTGCTTAGATCCGTTCTGACTTAGGATGCTATAGTTGATAGCAGGCCCGGTGGGTATAACTTTGGCCCCTGCTTGTTCAGTGTTAATGGATACTTTTCATTTTGTACAGCCTCCTGAGGATGTGGACGTGAGAAATGTGAGAGGTACCACGTGTGCGCTAGATCCCTGATACCCTTCTGGGCCGCTTTGCTGGGATAGGACTGTTCATTCCTGGAGGGGTGAACCCAGAAGTTGGTGTTGGGGGACCTCAGTTCCACGCATTAGCTGCAGGCCTGTGGTGCCCCTTGGGTTCTGTTCTGTCTCCCATGCTATTTAACAATTATATGAAACTGCTGGGAGAGTTTGTCTATAGAGTTTCGGGGTTTGGTGTCTGCAGCATGCTGATGACACTCAGCTCTATTTCTCCTTTTCAGCTAAATCCAGGGAAGCTTCTTTGGTTCAAAACCACCATCTGTCATTAGTAATGGATTGGATGAAAGTGAACAAATTGAAAGTTAATCCCAACAAGGCAGAGGTGCTCGTGGTCGGTTAGAAGGCAGACCAGGCAATAGGGAATCCGCCTTTGTTGGATGTGGTAACACTTCTCCTGAAGTCACAGCTTTGCAATTTGGACTTCGCCTGGGCTCAGCCCTGAGCACGGATGTTCAGGTTTCTGCAGTGGCCAGAGTGCATTCGTACAGTTAGAGCTAGTGTGCGAGCTGCGCCTGGTCCTTGAGATGTCTGATTTGAGGGTGACTGTGTTGTCTCTGCAGAAAGGTCATGCATTTGTTTAAAATATGCTTAAATAAGACTTAAGGCACAGCTCTAAGTGCAGGGCAGGAACTCTGAATTCTTTCACTGGTGTTGACTAGCTATGATTACTGTGAGGATGTAGCACTTGGATTTATACTGGAATGGTCTATCAACTTTAATAGCTAATCTAATTTGCAGATCAGGTTTCCAAAGGCCATAAGCCACTACAGAGGTTTCAAACGAGTTGATGACAGTTGATCAGGTTGACCCTGCCTGGATCCTGATCTCACTTCTGTTCATTTTATCCCCTTCCATTTTCCCATGCAGTGATGATAGCAACAGAGCAGCAGATGAATGAAGCTCAGCTTCCTCTTGACATGCGAGACTATTGTGCACACTACTTCCTTAAGTGGGCGAAGTGCAAACGTGACAAATTTCCAAATATCTTTGGGTGCAAACACGAGCGTCATGACTGGGATTACTGTGAGCACCTGGAGTAAGTCAGAGCTATGCCTCCCTTCTTCCTGTAAATCAGCCTTCCAAGTTAGCTTGTTGCTAACACTCCTGTATCACTTTTTCTCTGTCCACCATAAGAATTTAGCAAGACTAACAGGTAGCATATGGGCAGGGGAAGTTATTGTGTCACAACCCCTTCAGTGGTGTTGGTAGGGTGAAATCTTATATACCGATCTGTTAACTATTCTTCCTTAATGCTGAATGAGCTTTGATTTGGCTTTTTGAGTTCCTTCACTCAAAGCATCTCACCAGTCTTTATACAAGTCTTTCCAGGTTCAAGAGACTTCTAAACTGGCAAATATTTTTGACAGTATTCTCTCCTGATTGGAAAGCTAAGTAGAATGTAGGGTATCTCACTGATCCCATATCAGCAGATGACAACTTGGGGAAAGGTACATTAGGTAGATATCCATATACATGCTACAGATGTCTCTGCAGAATAGAAGAATGTTCAAGTGGGGAGGGAGAAAACTTTTATGAGGGATTCAAGCCAGCTAGTGTCTTTTGGCCTGGAAACCACAGAATGCGAGGATGGGTTTGGGGAGGGGGGGGGAAGAAGTATCGGTTGCTCTGACCTGACCTGCACTTGTGTGCTTTCCTATAGCTATGTCATGCGCATGAAAGAATTTGAACGGGAGAGGCGCTTGCTGGCTCGGAAGAAGCGCATTGAAGAAAAGGCAAAAGCGGCGGCGGCAGCATCAGCATCCTAGCTGGCTTTGGTGTGTCTCCTGGCTCCTTCAACAAGAGGCTTGCAGAATCCACTAGGTCTGTTATGTTGAAAACAATAAAGACATTATCCTGTGGTTCTGTCTAAAACAATCACTGTGCAGTTCCTGAGATGAAATGGATAGCAGTTGAACATTTAGAGCTAATGAAGACTTCTTAGCCTTCAAGAAGCCTCTTATATAAAAAATCCCCACCCCTGCCCCTCAAGTCTCTTCTGCAGTTGCTATTTTAAAGGAAGGGGTGGTAATGTCCCTTTTGTGGGTTGCTGGAAGTATTAACTAGTATTGTATTAAAGCGCAGAGAGACAGACAGACAAAGACAAAATACCAACCATTACGTGTTTTAGCTGCCAGTCTTGACTATGCACACAGCTGTTTTCACTTGTCACTCTTTTCCTGAATGCAGTTGTGGGGGGTAGGTCTCCACCTTGGTTCATTTTTGCCTAGTAACGAAGTGTCTTGTTCTACATACAGTCAATAAAGAGCTACTGCTCCTCCAATGTGACAGGAGGTAGGCAGGGATCAAAGGGAGCCAGTATCTGTGGGACAGGGTGTGAATTTACCTACACCTGGGAGGAGCTGGTAGGTCCCAGGCCAACCTAGATAAGTCAGACTTTGTGGCACCAATACTGTATCAAACTTTCTGATAGGTCAACCTTCCCCAGCCAGCTGCTGCACTCCAAATGTTTTGAACTACAACTTTCCCCAGCCATTTGCCATGCTGTCTGCTGGGAGTTGTAGTCCAGGGCAACTGGAAGACACCAAGTTAGGGTTCAGGCTATATTAGGTTCTGGTTGAAATGTGGATAGTTTCCTCTGGCTCAGCTGAAGTGCAGGTGGGAAATCTGTAATCCTCGAAATGTGGCCAGACTCCAGTAATTCCTACCTGTTGTCCAACAAACTTCTGTAGGACCACAGGCATCCTATAACTGCAGCTTATGACTCTCACCCAGGCTGGGGAAATGAGAAAGATGACTGCCCCAAAAGCCACACTTCCAATGCCACCTGCTTAGTGCAGGAATCTACAGCAGGAAGCATTTGTCCTCTGGTATCTTAGTGTAGATTTAGCGAACAGAATTGTGAACAAGTTCTCAACTTTTTTGTTGTTGCTGCTGATGCTGAAACAACACTTTGGGAGTTCTAAATTGTAATAAGCTTTCAAAATACAACTCTCTTTTCTAAGTAGCTCGGAATTTAAAGAGTACAAACTTGTTTCTCTCAGAAAATCCTGTTTCTAGTGTCCTTGTGTCACTAGACAAAATGCATTTTGCCCTAATTTGAGAAAATACTTGCATATTTTCACCTTAATCTCAAATAGTGTTTAATGTTTAGTAAAGTAATACTAAATCAAACTATATACTGTTTGTGTGTGGCCTGAGAAACCTTTTTTAAAAAAGGGATTAGATATGTTCATGGAAGATGCTGAAACGGTACCTGTTAACAGATGCTAGAGGCAAGAAAGTAGGGGTGGTCAATATGCTTGTGAGCTTCCAAAATCACGTTGCTGATTTTTTTTCTGATTCAGCAAGCCAACTGTGACTATTGAACTATTAAATGTGATGCTCAAGTGGTGAATACACTTTCTAGAAATTCCATTGGTTAATTTATAATTCCAACCCTTTGACCTATATTGAATTTTAGCAAGCTGTAGGAGTGCAGTTGCCATTTCAAGGTTAGCTTCTGATTTTAAACATCTTTTCTCCTTTGGGGGCAGGATAATCCAATACGATTTGAAGCTCTGTTCTTCCTTTTTGCTAGGCTGCCTTGCACACAACCCTCCTGTGGGTAACGCAAGGTTCCATTCCTTCTGCTTTTAATTCCATGGCACCGTACAAAGGAAAAACCTACTACAGTCCAGGGGATGGATTAGTTTTATTTGTGTAAATCCAAGAAGGAAGATAGTTCCATATGAAACAGACCATAACAAGTCAGTGGCTCATTTTAACAGCTGCCATGGAGCCTAGCAGGTTTCCAGTATCTCACTGCTCACATGCAGCATAAACTAAGACTATTGCAAACTTTCAACCTGATCCTAGACATGTTTACTTGGAAGTAAGTTCCACTGAGATGAATGGGGCTCGCTTCCAAATAAGTGTACGTAGAATTGCAACCTTAGTGACATTAAGACTAAATAGGAAAGGAGAAGTAAGTTCCTCTCAGGGAGGCTGTCAAAATTTCTGTAACGTTGAATTTCCCCCAAAGTAAGATTAAAAGCCTTTCCTTCCTTCTTTAGGGACTACAAATAGCTACAAGCTATTGAAGTATTTCCCGTCCCCAAATAACTTCAGTGCAGCTGTAGGTATAGTTTTCCCTTGCAGAAGGTTCCAAAAGCAGCTCTGATACCACTTACACAAAACAAACAGGAGTGGGCCTAAAGTCCAGGAAAAAATTGTAGCATGACTGAGAACAAAATATGTAGCAGCCTTGTTTTTCATACCCTCGTTTCAAGGCTCTGCCAGCTATTCAAGATGAAACCCACCATCCCAAACAGTTCATGCTTAGCATATTGGGTGAGGAAGGAGGTGCTGGCTTGCACTGTAGATGGTACTAAAGTGCTACAGCTGCTCCCCAGTCACACCTGATCTGTCCCCTTTGCTTCTATAGCAGCAGTTTCTGCAAACACTTCCCCATAGCACCTTGCTGCCTGCCCTGTGTGTCTAGAATTAACACAATCCTCTGCATTGGAAGAGAAGAACATACTTAATTTGGCTGCTCAGAGCATACTTATCAGCCTCCAGGAACTGGCACTTATTTTTTGAGCAAGGGCCTGAGGGTGTGTAAGAGATGAAGACAGCCTCACCTGCATCGGTCTCATGCCCTTCAGAAAGGTACTACTAGCTTTTAGAATGGGGAAGCATCCCAGAAAGAGCACAAAAGATTTATGCTATGCCAGTATTCGGCACTTGAGGGCTCACTTAGTCAAGGAGAATGCACAAAGCTGAGCTAGGAGACTTAACTCCTAAATTATATTGATGAACCATAGAGCTGAGGAGACCTGCTCTCCTAAGCACTATGTGGAGCAAAAAGTATTCCATTTAGGCCAGGCTCCAGCTGCCTAGATTTAGCTTTCGGCACCTGCTCCTGCAGACTTAGGGCTCAGTCACTGCTTCGTTCTCTTTACAACTGGATCGTTCTCTTCGCTGTAGCTTTTGACTTAATGGGCGCTTTGTGGGGAAGGCTGCTCCCAGCCTCAGAAAGGCTTTGGAATGGGATATGGTCAAAGATTCTGTAGGGAGGGACAGTAACTTACAAAAGGAAGGAAATCCCTACAGCTTCCCTCAGATTACAGTGTAGACAGCAAGAGAAAATCTCATTTTAGACTCCAATAACACTCGCTCACAAGGTAAAAAACAAAAACAGAACTATCGGCCCAGACAAAAGAAGGCAGAGGCTTCCAGCTCAAAGCAGGAAAGGGACAATGGGGGAACGCAATGGCGGGTAATCCCGGAACTCCTTCAGGTAACTTCGGTGCTTCCCCTTTGCCCAGATCGTCATTTGGATGAATCCAACCAAGGAAAACAGAGCCACTATTGACAAGGGAAGAGACAGTTGCATGTCATTAGGCATCTACACAGATCTCTATAATTTCCATGCCCCAAACGCCTGTAAACACATATTGGCGTAAGTAACTACTCAAGCTGATGGGAAATTACAGGCAAAAAACATGCCCCATGGGTACGTTCAAGCTGGACTTTCAAGCCACTCTACGACAATCTAGGATTTTTGAGACAGCAATACCTGTCTTGGGCTACATTATCTAGAACAGATATGGGACCATGCAGGCCTGCAACATCTGGAGGGTCACAGCATGCATCACCCAAGACTGCTGGGGCTGATGGGAGTCCAAAAACATTTCCACATCCCTGACCAAGAACTGGAGGGAGGCTTGCAGGCAACCAACCAACCCTGATTCATAACCCTACTGTTATCCCCTGCAAACCATTATTTAAGACCTGACGTCTTTGTTCAGAGCAGGCTAGGACTTACCTGGAAGGCACTGAGTCATAATGGCAAAGCCAATCCAGGATCCCACCTGGAAGAGAAGAACACCAGCTCAGGATTGTGGCAGGCAAGGTGGGTAAGACCCTTCAGCACAACTGACCCTTCATTAAAAAACAACAACCCAGTAGCCTTTGGGCTGGGGGGGGGGATGGGGATGGCACTGCGACTGGGTTCACAATAAATAAATTTCGTGTTAATCAGCCAAAGGCCTGGATGAAGAATGTTTCCACCTGGCGCCTAAAGGTGTATACTGAAGGAGCTAGCCGAACCAAACTAGGGAGAGCATTCCACAAATGGGGAGACACTTCAGAAAAGGCCCATACATATGAAAACATGTTCAGAACAAGACACATGAGGCACCTTCCAGATTATAATTTGCTGTGGGGTTCTATCCTGTTCTCACCTCGTAGGTATAATTAGGGCAGGAGACAAGCAAGAAAAGCCATGTGAAGGGGTTCTTGGTAGGAAATGGGATCTTCCTGGCTTTAGAACCTAGGGGGAGAATTAAGAGTTTGATTCATTTCATAAAGATAGCAATATACACACACACCCTTTTAAATGGTACTATTTTCTGTACTTAAAGGCACTTTGTCTCTAGTATAGCAGGGAGCTTTTTGGTGGAACCAACTTGCACATCAAGAACATTATTCTGCTTCCTCCTCACAGGCGGCTCCAGGAAAAACTGTGGCCGCCACCATCCTCAGCTCCATCCTAGCTTGAGGCATCTGCAGACACCACTGCATGGGGTCCTGCTCATCCAACTATGCATTTCACCAGACAGAGATTTGAGCCAGGGACACCAAGCTACTACAACTCAATGGAGAGCTGCTTTGGCACAGCCCATCTATGGCAAGCAGAATGTAAATAAACCTCATTTGGCACCTCTCTCAGACATTATGTTCTGTCTGAAGCCCACAGAATAAGCTTACAAAAATATGGTCACTAACAAGATCTGTCGAGGTGTTTCTGGCCTAAGATCTTCTGCAGCAAAAACCCAGTTGGACTACGTATATATGTGTGTATGCCTAGACACACAGAATCCAGAATACCAAAAAGTATCAATGCTAGATAAAGACATATGTGGCCTCCACAACCTCAGCAAAAGTGAGAGAGAGAGCACATGTGCAAGTGTATGCATGCAGGAGATTGAAAGGAGGAGGAGAGGAGAGTACAGTGGTACCTCAGGTTACAAACACCTCGGGTTACAGACTCCGCTAACACAGAAGTTGTATCTCGGGTTAAGAACTTAACCTCAGGATGAGGTTAAGTTCTTAACAGAAATCACGTGCCAGCGGCAGTGGGAGGCCCCATTAGCTAAAGTGGTACCTCAGGTTAAGCACGGTTTCAGGTTAAGAACCCCTCCAGAACGAATTAAGTTCGTAACCAGAGGTACCACGACGTTAATAAAAGGCACAGAAACAAGGCTCTAACCAACATAATTCCTTGTCCCTCTTGGTTGTTCCTCATAGGAACATAAGGAAAGCCCTGCGGAATCAAGTCAGTGGCCCTCTAGTCCAGCATCCTGTTCCTACAGGGTTCGTAGCCGCCGATAACCTTATTCTCCATGAATTTGTCTAATCCTCTTTTAAGGGCATCTAAGTCAGCAGCCACCACTGCCTCTTGTGGGAGCCAATTCCATAGCTTATGCACTCTTGTTTTCTTTTGTCTCTCCTCCACCCCTATCTGCATCTATCCTAACCTCTTTAACTCAATGTCCTTCTGCTCTCCTGCTCAACTCTTCTCTCAAAGGTTATTCAAAACACAGCGTACACTCTGCAAAACCCACCAATGTTGGACAAATGAGTCATGCACATTTACACATGCCCTAAGTTCACTGTTCATAGTGTTTTCAGGATTGCTCAAATCTCAGCAATACTTTCTCTTCTGTTGAAGAGCAATTGCACAGGGTTTCACCAACTCTGGGCTGCCAGTACCTTACGGTACGTGTCCCTTCAGCCAAACAGCCTTAAGACAGACCCAGAGTAGGTCCTTGCCATGCACCTATAGTAGCTAGGGAGGCACTCCAGAAGGCTCCCCTGTACTCACCAGCAGGGCGCAGGTTCCGTAGAGCAATATGAATTGAGAAGTTTCCCAGCTGGCAGAACTACAAGAGAAAACAGAGTCAGTTTCAACATAGGCATGTGAAGAGACCAAGCACTGACCTCTCACAGGTTCCCTGCCCCCCCCCCCTTTATCACAAGTGACATTTCTGCACGAAAAGCCTGTGCGGACACATTTTTGCAAAAATCTTAGGAATCGGCTTGGAGGGATCCTGCTCCCTCAGTGCAGGATATCCTCTCCCTCCATAAACGCACAGCCACTTTTTTTTTTGGTACCACTGTTTCATATTTTCCAGAGCTGAGCCCTAGAATTGTGCACCAGTAAGCAAGTGCTCAAATCAAGGAAGTGGGGATTATGATGCACAAACCCCTAGACCCATTTCCTACTGCAGCCTCTGCTAGCCTGATGCCCTCCAGGTGTTTTGGTCTATACCTCCCATCAGCCCCAGGGATGTAGTTCAAAACAACTGGAGGGCACCAGGTTGGCGAAGGCTATCCTACCGTAACTAAGCCAAAGCATGGGCAACTGAAGTCACTCTTCCCCATTTATCCTGGCGCCATTTCCATTCCATTCTTCTTTTTGTCCCCCCTCATGGATATTTTTAGACTGTAAACCCCATGGGGAAGCAACCTGCCCTCTCATTCTCTAGCAAGTGCCGCATGAGTATACGGTGCTAACATCAACAACCAGAAGGTGGCAGCTTGGTTTTAAACACAGTAGCACCCATAGGAAAATTAGGAACTAGTCTCATCTTCATCAGCCCAGGCACTAGTTATCAAAACCTCATTTTTTCCAGTCACCACTGGCAATCTTAGTCCTCAGCCCATACAGCAGAGTTCTGACCTAGTTACTGATCTGATCTGCCCCCACACCCCTCAAAGCTCCTTTTACCCCCCATGACTCCACAATGCAACACCAGCTTTCTGTTACGTGGGGGGAACCATTTCAGTTCGTGCAAAATCCAGCACTTATTCAGCCCTGAAAATCCCCACTCTGTATAGGGCCGAGTCTCACAATGTAAATAGGAAGCCCTGACTGTTTCACAGCTGTGTTTCTGTAGAAATTAACTCCTCTGCTTTACACGCTTGCCTCTGCATGACTGAGCTTTCACCCCAAGTTCACCTATAGCCTCCTGCCCCATTTTCTAACACATACATATTTATCTACTTCAATTCCACATGGGGCTATTACACTCCATCCTTAAGTTCTTACCAGAAAAATGATAAGTGCCAGTTTCACTTGTTCATGTCCATACGCTGAAGGGATGACAAAACAAAAAATGTTAGGGCAGAGTGTGTGACTGGCTCAAGGTCATCTGGTGAATTTAACAGCTGAGGGGGGAATTTGAACCTCGACCACCCCAGTCTTTTTGCATTTCCTGGACACAAGAGTCACATACAGTCATGATCATACACCTATTAATATGTCAAGTTGGCCAATTAGCACCTTACTGAGTCTGCAGGACATTATCTCCCATGCCAAGAGCTGACAGTGACTTGTGTGAACACAGCCTGAGACTTCCTCCCAGACATTCTTCTGCTAAATTACAAGGCAAGAAAGATCAACCCCATTAATATCCATCTGCTTTAAAAGCCATTAGGGATCCTTGTCCAGCACTAACCACCAAAATCTCCTCCCCAGCTTCCCTTTCATTTTTTGGCTCACCTGGTGGAGTATACAACGGGTGATTGATGTAGTATGCCATCCAGGCAGCAAAACCCCAATAGTAAGTACAGTTCTGGAGAGAAAGACACAAACACATTAAGAAACAGTTATCCAGTGAAGTTGTAGCAAAATGGAGGTGTGCTGAATATGCCAACTTCACGGCCTGGGAAATGCTCAAGCAGAGGAGGAAGCCAGACCCCGTCCCCTCATTCCTAGGAAAATGCCTAATACCGTTTACTTCTTGAAAACCACAGTAAGGAATTCTGAGGGTTGCCCTCCACAGCTGTCTTATTGCTTGCCCCTTCCTGACCCTCCTCCTTTAGCCTCATTCCCAGCACCACTCACCTTAAAGATGTTACGTAAGGGCATTGTCCCATGGGAGAACCTATGGACAAAGAGGGTCTCCAAGAGGCGCTTGACGTAGTGGAAAGAGTGGCAGATGCAGGCCAGGCTGGAAAGGAGAAACAGAGCAGGCAGAATAAGAGGCTATTGTAGCAGTGAAATCTAGTAGAGAAATGCAAAAGACCCTTCTGCCCCATTTCAAGAGCAAGACCAGTGAACACAGTTATAACCAGTTCTCTGAAGTCCTCCTGCAATTCTGCTTTGAGCTTCCACATTCTGGGCTTCCTTGATCAGAAGGATTACTTGGCGACCTTTGTGGAAGTCTTCCTTAAATTTGTTGCAGCAAATGGTTTAAACTAGCAAAGTTGGGTCAACTGACCTAAAAAAAATTGAACTAAAATCCTGCCAGAAGAACCAATACTTAAGGAAGCTATGGAACACTGTAATGCTCCATCTACACCCAACAGCCACAGATAATCCTTTTATTTCCTGCCAGCTCAAACCCTGTTTCCAGAAATGCTGACAATAGAGCAGGGAATCTAGGACAGATTTTAAGGATCAAGAGTTCCTTTGTGTATCCTGTTCTTGAGACAGTGTGAGAGGGAGGCGGATGGGTGGGTGGGGGAGGGATGGGACACATATTCTACTCATTGACCTGGTGTGGGCTCAGATCACAGCAAAACTAGTGCGTAGTATTCCAATACAAGCTAAACACACAGAAAAATGGCCTGTAGGTACTTTGTACCTTGGCCTGTAGGTACTTACTGTACAACAGAATACTTGCTGGAGGTGAAGTCATACTTATGGCCGTAGATGAAGGGCACCCGGAAATAGAAGAGCAAGTAAATGAGCAGGGGCCCAGCATACTCTGTGAGGAAGACCTAAAATGAAGAAGGCAGGATGAGGGAAGGGGAGAAAAACCAAGGGCATGGGAAGGCCGTGTGGTTGTTGTGGGGAAGGAAGAGGCGCACTTACGGTCACCCAGCTGATTTGTGCTCCCAGGTCTCGAAAATACAGCGTTGCTGTGGTGCCCACCGGCAAGTTCTGAAGGATGTCTTCATCCTTTAGGGACTTCCCCTCTGAAAGAAAGGAGGAATCACAATACAGCTGCCATGGGCACCTTGGCTGGGATACCAAACTGAAGTGGCTACTTCATTGGTCACATGTCTGAGAAGCTCTGTCTGCCTAATATTCAGAGAGGGGAAGCCATGACCAAGGAGGGGCAGCGAGGCTCCAAGGGAGATGATGGATGCTTTAATTATGTCCTCACCAAACCCATGAATCTGGATGTCCAAGAAATGACAGCTTCTTGCAGAATTATATAGCCTTTCATGCATGCCCCTCATAAGAATTCCCAAGGCCAGAAATTCCTGTGTCTGTTGCATCCTCTGGTCAAAGACTCGGTAACTCTTATCAGTATAGTCTACCAGCCCCACTTCCTTCCCCCATAACTTCCTAGCTAAGACAATCTGCCCGCAAAATTGAGGCATGAAAAATATCAGAAGGCTTTGTAATATACCAACTTACTGGGATCCAGTCGCAGAGACTGCCGGGCTGGATACCACTGAGGATCTGCAAAGAGAAAAAGGGGAAAGAAAGCTGCACATTGCTTCATCTGGCTCAGCGCTGTGTATGTACATTGACTGGCCCTGCCTTCTCAGGGTTTCAGAAAGGAGACTTATTCCTGACTGGAGAAAGTTCCTCCATTTTCCGCAGCAGGTAAAATAAAATAGTCTATTTTTTACTGTTACTTTGTTGTATTTTGTATGCTGCTGTTGCTTAGCTGCCTTACAGCACCATCGGAAATACAACAAATCAAGAAACAAGCCAACATGGGTAAAAGCAAAGAGCTTCCTTTCTCCAAAGTCCACAGAGATAAAAATGGAAGTTCAGAATCCGAACCTCCAGAAGTTGTTTTCAATTACAGGGAAAACGCATGACAATAGTAGTTTTGGGGATATATTATTAAAATGGCATGACGAGGGTGTCAGGAGGCAAGCTTTACTCATGAAGCAAGCAGCTCAGCACTTTCAACGCTCCCTCCCTCCAAGGGCCAGTCCCACTGTACGAGTGAGGAAATGACAACGGGCAAAACCAATAAAAGGTCTGCTTTGATACGTGTGTTCAGGCAGGAGTCACACAAGGATACATGCGCCATACATACGGGACTTAGTGAAGAGGTTCTTTATCTCTATTACGGTGGCATTGGGCTCAACCTGAAAAGAAAGCAGAGGAAGGAAATCAGGGAACCAGAGCACAACATCGTATATGATTAAAGAGTGAATAAAGCCCATCTATCTAAGCACCTTCTACCCAGGGAACAAGGGCAGGAGAAGACAGCCTCAAGCAGAGCAGTCCTACACTTGCATCTTAAGTGGGTGGAACAGCTTATGTTTTACATGCTTGAGGAAACTGGTTTGATTCCAGGGTACAACCTCACCAGTGTTAGACAGATAGAAAAGGGATAGAAAAGCTAGGAGCCAAGTGGCTCCTGGGTCCTGAGTTGTGGATGCCAAAAATATGTCTAGTCGCCAGGAGGGGTGTGTCAGCAACACTTTTAAGTTATTATTTTGATAAGCATGAACTACTACGCAATTCACATAAGTGACATATTGTTAATATCACATTTTTAACAGAAATGTAAATACATGTTTAATTTGCTGTTTTCAATAAAAATATTGGTACCAAACTTCCGTTTTCAAAACACGCTATGCTTTATTGTTAAACTCCTTAACATATTGCCTATCCTTAACATATACTTCAAGGCTTCAAAGCACATACATTTCAGTAATCCTCGAGTGTCAACCAGGCATAAAAAATTACACCCAGACTTTTTGAGGTGTTTGCATCCTGGCAATTTTGAACCCTGAACCTCACACTAGGAAAGAGAGAAGCTTTCCACCCAGGGACCCCTGAGTCAATCAAGAGAAGTGTTGCAGGCAGCACCAGACCCTTAATTCAAAAAACTGCTTCAACAGAATCTCAGTCCCTCACTTCACAGAAGCGGCAACAGCAGCAACCTGGTCATTATACAGCCATTTCTGGCCATAAAAGACTAGGTCTGCATTCTCTTTGCCAGTAAATCTGCTTTCCCACATGATATTTCTAGCCACTGGAAGCCATACATCACCTTGACAATGGAAGTAAAAGTGAGCTGTCTCTGTCCTACATCTGTGCACACGTGTGTGTGCGCGCACACACACACTTCTCTTCCAGCAATGGAGATGTTGCAAGAAGAAGCCATTGGACTGTCCCTCAGACAGCTGATGTGTGAGCTTGAGAACACCCAACTCAGCTTTCAAATTAAAGCAAGAGAAATGTATGAGGATTCCAGAGCAGTTGCCAAGCATGGATCAGCACCTCCAGAAGCTTCAAAAAGCAACACAACCTGGGAAGCGACGCTCAGGTCTTGGGTTACGTCTAAGTAAGCAGCATGAGCTGGGACTCAGACAGTCTGAACTCTCTTTGTAGCAGGTTGTTCTCACTGCTGGCTGTCACTTCTTAGGGAGCTGCCTCCTCTTGCTTTTGCCCCAACAATATTAATTATCTACAGATACTTGTAAGGTGGTTTGCCACTTGCCTTGTGAAGAAGGTCCACAGAGAGGAGAGCAGTAGAAGATAGCACTGTAACAGAAGTGGCCACAGAGACAGACATAGGAGGGGGCTCCCCAATCGGCAGACTAAGCCAATCCTGTCTAATAAAATGTATACAGAGTGTACGTGTTTCTCTCTTTGTGTTGTCACTTGTTTTGCATCCTTCTGTGAAGCACAGAGGATAAGCCTTTTCCAGCCACTTTCAGGCCCCCTTTTCTTTTTTTAAAATAATTTTTATTAACCGACCAATCAAATCACATCACATAAATTCCGAATTACAAAGCCGAATTTTAAATTTTTGTTGGGGTGACCCATATTTCAAGTTCCGAAGGGGGATTCCGATCATCTTCTTGTTGCTGCGTTAATATCCACAAATCTGTCCAAATAATGTTCATAATTCTATCCAGTCTTTTCTTGCTGTTTCCACATCTCATCTTGTTCGTATATTTTTCTTTTTTTCTTTATGATCTCTTCTGATAATCTCCTTAAGCAAGTAAACACCAATTATAATCCTGTGTGAATTTTTCCGTTCATCCAGTCATCATATCCAGATGGTTTCCATATACAGTGGTGCCTCGCAAGACGAAATTAATCCGTTCCGCGAGTGTCTTCGTCTAGCGGTTTTTTCGTCTTGCGAAGCAACCCTATTAGCGGATTAGCGGATTAGCGCTATTAGCGGTTTAGCGGCTATTAAAGGCTTATCGGCTTAGCTGCTAAAAGGCTATTAGCGGCTTAGCGGCTTAGAAAAGGGGGGGGGAGCGGAAAAAAAATCTCAAGACTCGCAAGACATTTTTGTCTTGCAAAGCAAGCCCATAGGGAAATTCGTCCTGCGAAGCAACTCAAAAACAGAAAACCCTTTCGTCTAGCGGGTTTTCCGTCTTGCGAGGCATTCGTCTTGCAGGGCACCACTGTATCATCACTTTCATAAATAACAGCACTCTTTCCATCATTAATCTCGCAAGTCTGTTGCATTTTAGTCCCACTGAGGAGGATCACCCACAATATAAAAACAGACCTTTCCTCCTCCCAGACATAAATTTTTCGATGGAACTTGCCAAGATGGCGACAATATTTTTTGCTGCGTCATTCCAAAGCTCTTATGCTTTCCACGGTCTTCTTAGAACATGCTTTGGTTAGAAAATTATCTCCACACAGCCTTAAATCCACAGCTTAAGTCATTTAAACGGCATTTCTGACTTGTGACTTGGGGGGGGGGATTCTTGGTTAATCACATAGAGAAAAGAAAGGAAAGTTTTCCCCCCTCCCCCATCCAGTCCTGTTGCCGAACATACCGAGCGTTAGTGTGTCTTCTCATGATTTATTCTTGTTCCTCCGACCCGTCTTGTTTATCAGAGATCTCTTCAGTTAGCAGTCTTTACTCCCCCTTCTTCCTTGAAATATGTGCATTAGCTTCCTCCTAATTGTTTCTTTTGAAGTTCCTGCAGCTAGTGGCGTGGATCAGAGACAGCATCCAGGAGCGCCGAAATCCACACAAGGGCTTTCTGCCTAGTGCCCCCACCCCCACAAAATTCGGGGGTGGTATAGGGCACAGCAGGCAAGGGCAGTCCCCCCCACACCCTTGGGGGGGCCGGGAGGCTGTTTACTCCCATCACAGCCTCTTAATTACCTCACGTGGGTCGGAGAGATGTTATTGTCAGCCATCTTCCGATGCGCCCTTAGTGGCCACACCCAGGCCCCCTTTTCTTTAGCTTTGTTACGCAGCTTTGATAGCAGCTTACTGGCTAGCACCTGTGACATCATTTCTGATATGAGGCAGCTTCAGCTAGAGGGATGTAATCACACTGAGAATTTCTGCAAAGGCTTAGAACCAAGAAGTGGAGCTTGCATCAAACCAGGGAATGAAACTTCTTCCCGCCTTACAGTTCCCTAAACTGACCCCATTGTGTCTTTACAAAAGGGGACACAAGGATTCAGCGAGTGCCCTAGTCCTGAGAGTATTTCCAAATTCAAAAGCTCCAGATGTCACAGTAAGAATTATGTTGCAGAAATTCACCGAACACATGAACGAGGAATGGCTTTTACAATCTTTTGTTTATAATAAGCCCAAAATTCCAGTCCACATGTGCAACAAAGTGCATATAAGCTTACAGTTGGCAGTATAGAGACCCCTGCAATTTCCTTGTGTTCTTTCCCTGTGTCCCAGGAGGAATCTCACACAGCTCAAAACAAACACAGTGTTCCTCTTCCCTTCCTTGTGCAGAAAGCCTCCTGGTATGCAAGGAATTGAGAGAGGTGAAGGAGGAGATGATGACATTTCAGAAGGGCGTGTCCACCATCATAGCCAATCCAAGCAGGTGCTGGTGTAGGGTGTCTAAGGCAGCTGAAGTCCAACTCCCAGTGGGGAGGTATGGTTCTCTTCTGCCTTACAAGGCCGATTCTCAGAGCCAGCACAACTATGCAAGAACTTAACAAATGCCCTAGGGGCTATGAAAACTGACCTGTTAAAGCACTAGTAAGGTTAACAGCAGTAGCTGTTTAGACTGGTTTGGAGAATGGCAGGACAGGAGGCTACAGCCAGTGTGGCTGACTACAAGCCAGCCAACCCAAGAGCTTGGATGGGATTAATTGGAGCCAGTCTAATGAAATTTACAAGTCAGCAATGCAACCACATCACGAATATGATCCTTCTTGCATGACAGACACTTAGCACATCAGTGGTCATTTTATAGGCCTCTATGGCCATAACAGACCGCTCTGCTGTCGATTCTTACAGTACATTATGTGGCCCAAATAGATGGGTGCAGGCAGTCTGCAGCAGAGATTTCTGGAGACCCAACACTGGAGTCCTGTCATTCAGCAATCAAAGCAAGAAGCAGCCCAAACTGATGCATCTTGAACAGCAGCCCAAACCCATTGGTGAATGAGGCAATACTTAGGGGGGTAGTCATGGCTGCTGCTAGGTGCCACATTAACCAGGGGTGGGCAACCTGTTTCCTGCCTGGGGTTACATTCCCTCATGGGTGAGCTGCCAGGGGCCTCATGCTGACCATGCGTGGGGTCAAAAGAAGCAGAGAGCAGAGTCAGAGGGAAACATGGGTGGGGTCTCATTGTAGTCTCTCTACTGTGGTTTATGCGGGGCAAATCTATAAACTGATTTCATCAGCAAAGTGAAGGCATCTATGAGTAGCAACCACATATGAGAGAGATCTTGCCTTATTGACAAATGTATGCACATGCATGCTAAAGAACAGTTGATTCTGCCAGCTTCCAAAACATGTTTGTAAAACTAATCTGGTTGAAAACAAATTTCGTTATGATGTTATATTTTAATAGAAGAAATCTCATTGGCTTTTGTTCATCCTAGCCAGCCAACTTATTTAGCACATGGCACAGGTGTGCACACCCACTTACATATTTGATCCTGTTATCTCAAAAATTAACTTCCCCAACTCATTCAGTGGTTTTGACACCATGTGAGAGTGGGAGCATTTAGCTGCAGTGACAAAAGCTGTTCAAGCTAGCAAAGTTCTTTCTTCCTGCAACATTAGCAACTCAAGTCAATGACATACCAAGTGTCAATAGTAAGAATGGAAACTTATTTAAATAAACAGCCTGATATGAAGAGAAGGCTTAAGGCCCTCCTCTCCCAGCTACAGCGGATATCCACCTCCCTGCAGCTGCTGTCAGTGAGGATTTAAAGGCGTGAACATTTGTACAGTGGTGTGTGTCACACTTGCTGGCCTCCTGAAAAACTCCAGCTCATTTAGTAACAGCCAGCTAGCAATACTCTTTAAGACCCCCCTACAGAAACATCTGACAACAGATCAGGCTTAAAGGATCCTTAACACATCCAGCTCAGGCCTTTCTAGCTATACCTCATGACTGCAGAGAAAACTGGGAGCCAGCTTGTTATATATTGTTTTTATATGTATTGGAAGTCGCTCAGATCGGCCGGGGCAGCTCACTCAGATGGGCAGGGTGGTATTCTTATGAATAAGAGTAAGAATCTTGTACTTTGCAGCAAATGTGGGCAACCGTTTGTCCTAGCAGGCCACATGTGAGGATGGACGGGCAACTTGGCCACTTGCCAGGGGGTGTGACCCGAGCCAGGAGAGGTGTGATCTGGTGGTGGCTGGGCCTCTCACTCATGTCCTATAACAATGATGCTCCCCTCTAGCCTGACTGCCAGGTAGCTGTTTGGCAGGCAAGGGGGAAAGCAATTTACATGGAAGGATGGCTTGCAGGAACAATTCTTCCAGTATCCCCCATCCCCACATACACTGCATTCTTCACAGCCCCACCACACATTTTTTGGGTGAGCTGGGAAGAGCATAACTCACATGCCTCCCAGAGCAGGGAGAGCAAAATTCATTTGGGGGTGGGGTGGGCACCCATGGGTGTCACACTGAAGGCCTCCATGAGAAGCATCCACAACTGTGCTCCCCAGAAGTGGCTGGGCTCCAGCTGCCATCATCCCTGACTATTGGCCATGCTTGGTGGAGGCTGTAGCCCAACAACATCTGGGGACTCAAGGTGAGGAAGGATGCCCCACAGGACCACAAGTCACGCAGAAGTACCACATATTTATAATAATGATAAATGTCACATTCATCAACATCATCATCATCATCATAATTTATTTATACCCTGCCCATCTGGCTGGGTTTCTTCAGCCACTCTGGGTGGCTTCCAACTGGATATTAAAAACACAATACAGCATCAAACATTAAAAACGTCCCTAAACAGGGCTGCCTTCAGATGTCTTTTAAAAGTAAGATAGTTGCTTATCACTGGGAGGGCATTCCACAGGGCAGGTGCCACTACCAAGAAGGCCCTCTGCCCGGTTCCCTGTAACCTCACTTCTCAGAGCAAGGGAACCGTCAGAAGGCACTTGGTGCTGGACCTCAGTGTCCAGGCTGAATGATGGGGGTGGAGACGCTCCTTCAGGTATACAGGACCGAGGCTGTTTAGGGCTTTAAAGGTCAGCACCAACACTTTGAATTGTGCTTGGAAACGTACTAGGCGTCAATGCAGGTATCTCAGGACCGGTGCTATATGGTATGGTATCAGTGGCCACTCCCAGTCACCAGTCTAGCTGCTGCTAGTTAAATATTAAAATTGGGAGGTGGAAATGGGGACTTCTAGTCATCCTTTCTAGCAGAAAAGAGAGGACATCTACTTTTCAATGCACTGGGAAATGTGGACAGATGAAAGAAATGCCAGCAGTCATTTATCTCTTTTTTGGATGCATGTGTAGTTGAGAGGAAACATTTTAATGGATCAATTCTGAGAAATATCTAAACATGAAGCCTTTTCCAATTGATCATCCTCTCCAATCAATGCTAACTACTGCCTCTCTCACAGTTATCAGAAGTCATCCAAAAGACAGGACAGCCAGTTAGTTTTCCCGTCTTAATATATATTTACACTCTAGCTGGCAATACAGGTCTTTGGTAGATTTTAGTATTAAACAAGGGGGCAACTCCTGCTTTACCCCCTGAGATCCCAGTGCCTTCCCCAGTTATTTATCAAGTTATAAAGTTCAGTGAGAGCAATTAGAGAGACCTTACCTTGTCCAGGAAGCACAGCTTTTCCCGGGTCTTGGCATCCAGAATCTCCACCTCAAAAAAAAGAACACCCCTTTTAGATTTCTTATGTGGCTTGGCTCCTATTTCATTGAAACTTCTTTGAAGGGGTGGACACCCCTCAACATGAACCAAAGTCCCGTCCATGCCTCTTCACACAGCAGGAAATCCTCAGGGGCGTGGACAATCAAGAGCTGGAATCACCACCACAGGTTTCTCTCCTAGCTACATGTGGACCTTCTCCTGGTCAGCAAACAAACTTGTTTCTCAAGAGGAGCTAATTGCCCAGTATTCTTTTTATTTTTTAAAAAAGTCAAGACTAAAGTTCCAGACTCAGCCCTTCAAGTAAGATCCAGCTCAGCACACACTAGAAGGGGTTCCCTTCTAGTCTGTTCTGCAGGATGCGTTCCAAGGCGTAAGCCGATAAGTGTTGGGAGTTGAACTGCTACCATTCCCAGCTAAATATAAAACTGAGTCCAGCATATAACTTCTCACAAGCAGCCTTTTGACCAGTCAACTCATACCAGTAAGTTTTTGAAAACATCTCTCTCTCTCTCTTCCCCAAAAAAGACTGCACCACTCAGTTCATCTCATTTATACAGAGAGTCCACTATAGCGCTAATAATTATTAAGAGATGATCCATGTCCAAGTTGACTTTAGAGACATATATGAGCCCTGCCCCTCAGAATAATTAGCAGGAGTTGTCATCTATGGGAATTTGCGATGTTTCGTGTTTATAAATGAATAACAAGCATTCTGACCCCCTGTATTGTAAAGGGTGTGACTACTGGGATTCCAAGGGTTGTAGCCAACGAAGTCGTCCTGTTCCTGCAAGGACATCCACCTGTACAATGAGTCTTCCTCTCCCAACTCCAAATCTGCTCTGGAAGGATCCCCGAGAGATTGGGAGGGCACACAGGGAGAGGAAAGGAAGTCCCACTGCACAGGTGGAAGTCCTTGTGCTAACAGGACAGCTTGGTTGTATTCTTTGAAGCATGACTTTAAAAACTTATTTTTAATCCAAAATATTTTTTTTACAACTGATTTATGTATTTGCTGACTTGTTGCTTCAGTTTTAAACTGTGTTGTTCTCATTAGTTTTCACAGTTTTGACATTATAGCTGATTTTCACTGTTCATTGTGTTAATTGCCATAACTACCTGTAAGCCACCTTGTGATATCTTTTTTCAAAGAGACTGCATATAAACCTGTTACCTAGAATATTTTTTTACTAAGAGACTCATGAATTGAACTAACTAACTAAATACAACACAAATAGGCATCATTTCCTGAGTCCCCCCCAAAAAACCCTCATTCAAGGTGAGTCTGTTTTAAATAAGTTTACCCAAATTATTACATATGCACCTGTTAGAATCATAGAATTGTAGAGCTGAAAGGGACTTCAAAGGTCATCTACTCCAACTCCCTGCAATGTAGGAATCTCAACTAGATCTTACATGACAAATGGCCATCCAGGCTCTGCTTAAAAACTTCCAAGGAAGGAGATAGAATTGCACAAAAGACTCTGAAGCATTTGTCTTCAACTGGTGGGTCAAGGCCTACTAGTGGATTGTGGTCTGATTCAAGGTGGGTGCAACAAGAGCACTACCATCATGCAAACATATCAAGAAACTGGTCCCCAAATGCATGTTTGGGTTTAAAGTGGTTCCTGGGTCTGAAAACATGTATGTTTACAACATTATTCAACTTTTTCAGCTCCCTCTTCGACAACATTATTCTGAGCTTTTCCACTAAGGTTAAACTGTTTTGAGCATTTTTTAAGTTTAGAGAATGGGCAGCAAAGTATGGCTGTGATGGAATGAATGCTGTGGCTAGAAAGGGTTTTCTTCCTGTCAAATTACAAACATTCAGTCTCATTCAATAAATCTGATAGGCACAGACAAAAGACAGTAGCATTTTACAACATGCATTGTTAAGTTATAAAATTTCCTGCCACGGGATGTGAGTGACACTAATCTAGGTGGCTTTTAAAAAGCGATAGGTTCATGAAGGATAGGTCTATCCATGATGCTCAGATCTTCTTGGACAAATGGCAGATAGCAAGGCAGGCCCTCTGTGATTCCTTTGTCAGGCACGTAATGCCCAAGAGGATGCAGTTATCTCATAACAATATCGGACAACAGAGAGTATCTATTGAATATGAAGAAGTGCAAATCCTCTCCCAGTTTAAATTCTGGGAAGAATTGTCATAATACATTTCATAACCAGAAGTGAATTAAGAGGCTTTGATTTCCTTCAATTGCCATATCAGATTGCACGAAAACATATTTCAGTCTATCCTTAAATTGAGCCTGGAACACAACTGGCTTGTAATCTGTATGTTTGAATTAAACAGACTGTTTTCTTATAGCAGGGATAGCCAACATAATGCTCTCCAGATCTTGAAGAGAGCTACAACTCCCAACATCCCTGACCGCTGGCTATGCTGGCTGAGTTGATGGGGGTTGTTGCTGGATCCCCACTTCTGCAGCATACCATATTGGCTACCCCATATTGTTTTCACCACTTTGCTCTTGCAGCCAAAATTTAGGAAGGTTACCAGGCTGCAGAGATCATATTTTACTCAAAAATATTAAAAGCGCACAACTGGACTGCTCAACAAGGTGTCATTTGAAAGCTGATGAAGATGCTCCTGAGCCTTAAGATGCAGTTTCACATCCCCACCCCCACCCCCATGCCTGGGTCAAGGTAAACCAGCCTTTGTGCTATCAAAGCAATAGCATTAAGAGACACAGAGAACACAAAAGCCTGTGTGTGCTGGTGTCCAATGTATCATTGTGTGGGTTCAAGCACATTTGTGACCCAATGGCATGATAGGCCCCTTTGTAAATTAGTTATGAAAATCTTGCTTCTCATCAGACTAGAAGCAGTGATAGAAACTCAGATATAAGCTAATTACCAAATGGCACCTTAAACCTAAGTTGCGGTTGCCACAATGGTTGTCTAGGCACCATTTTTTCCCTGGTGAGATTTGTTGCTATTATTACTATTTTCCAATTCATTTCAATACTGCTTTATATTTTAAAGCAAAAAATCTCAAAGTGGTTTACAAAACATTAAAACCAGAATAAAACAAATTCATGCTTCAAGGAAAATATTTCAGATCCTTCCCTAAGTGAAATATTGTTTCCCCCATATTTATTTACCAACTTAATTTATATAGCTACCGCATAGCAGAAGTACTATTGGAAGACAGTTTGGTATAGTAGTTAGAGTGTCAGACTAGGACCTGGGAGATCAGGGTTCAAATTTCCACTCAGTCATGAAGCTCACTGGGTGACCTTGCACCAGTCACAACTTCTTAACCCACCTCACAGGGTCGCTGTAGGGATTAACTGAGGAGGGGATGGGCCATGTACTCCTTGGAGAAAAAGGTGGGATATATATGAAATAAATAAGCTATTCTGCTTACCTGCTTAAGAGAGCTGGAGGGGCCAGCTGGGTGGAGATGTCCAGTTGCCAACCTGGCATCCAAAGATCTCCACATGGTTGCAACTGAAACCATACCAGATGCAAAATGTGTCTGGTGCCCGGGGAATTTCTAACACTAGCTAGAAGTGGTGATAAACAGGGACCAAAATACACCAATAGTGCCTTGTGGTATTCTATACTTCCAGAACAGGTCATTGATGGTGGCCAGATTCTGGACTAGATAAGCTACAAACCTAACACAGTAGACTTTTCCATAGGTTACATTCTCCACAGATAGATTCAAAAGTGCCATCCCCTCCAGCCTCCTACTCAGTTTAGAAGTTCATGGCCTCTGTGAAGTTAGAAGCTGTCTCGAGTGGGACAACAAGAATTTGGAGTCTGTTCAGCACTTTCAACAGATAGTAAGGGCCAGTTCCAAACAGAGGTATTAATAGAACTGTGCCTCAGAGCCTGGAATGGTCACTCTCATGGCTCAGAGCTTCTAGAACAAAGAATTTCTTCCAGGGGAAGCAGCACACAGATCACGCTGACCATATTAAGCTGTTGTGAACAACTATCAGTTGCGCAGGGAGAATGCACGGTGTCGTGATGGACTATTCACAGTAGAAGCAGCGTTCCAGAGAAGAATCAGGATGTCAAAGAAATGGTGAAAAGTTTCAAAGCAACACACTGCAGCCTTCAAATGCAGCAGGACTGCAGACCTCCCAGATACCACTGATGGGGAAGCAAACAGATTGCCATCAAACCAGGAAAGAAGGAAGAAGAACCCCACCAACATGAATAAGCCCTGGTAAGTAACTAAGGATTGGGGGGGTTGGGGGGGCAAAGGAAAGCAATATCTGAACAGCTAGTATAAACCAGGTTGGCTTATGCCACAGACTACTGCTTTATGCAAGAGCCTTTGCAAACAAGGATGGAGTTTGTTGAAATCTCTCCTCAGATCATTCTTTATAAATTGCTTGAGATTAAGAATGCAGTGGAAAGCAAAATGAATGTATGAACAGGCGTGTAACCTATGTAGGGGAGGGCATTTCCCCAGTGTGTGGCTCAGAGGCTGGTACTTAATTCATATCAGTGTGTATCCCAGAAAACATAAGATAATCTTTAAAGCATCCCTTCCATGGATGGGTTGAATGTGCAAACTTGCAAACTTGTCAAGCTTATGTGAAATCTGTCCACAGAGGCTGTTTGGGGCTGAAGAGTTCTCTAGCTCGGCATGAGGAAAAGTATATTTCGGGGGGGGGGGGGAATCTTCTCACAAGAAAAAAGGCATATTATATTTGCCTGAAAAATCACCAGGAATTAACTGGTTAAGATATTAACAGATCACCAAACTTAATCTCTGAGCCCGAATAGTCACAACCATGTAATAGACTTTTAAGTTTCAGGACGGAGAGAGGTTTAAAAGATGACTTTTGGAGGCTATATAGCGGCACTGTTTGCCCAAGGTAACAGAGAACTTGAAAGCTATTTAATGCATTCCTGTAATTGTCTACTACCTCCCTCTCTGGAATGGATTGAACCCATGTATGACAAAATAGCCTACTTGCCACACTCACTGGCAAGGGGCGTAGAGAGACCATGGCAAATGAAATCACCCCAGAAAGGTCAGCAGCTATCTCCAGCTCTGCATTTCATTGGACACATAGCAACAATGATTTTGCTGTGGTGCAATACGAAGTAGAGCAACTGGCAGTCAACTCATAGCTTACTTACTATGAAATCTCTCTCATACTTGTACATGTGCATTCACAGCTGCCCAAGCTGAGCATGAAGAGAATCAGAGCAGGGAAATTAAGGGGTTTCCCCCTTCCCACCCTCAAGTGTAACTGAAGACACTGCAAAAATGTGGTAATTGCATCCCTTAATCCCCACTGATTGAAAATATTAACAACTCCAATGTGTGTCACACTGTTTGCTTGCTGTTTCTGTCCCTTCTAATGACTCCTAAGACACAAGAAATGGGTGTACAGTGGTGCCCCGGTTTACGAACTTAATCCATTCCAAAAGTCCATTCTTAAACCGAAACCGTTCTTAAACCGAGGCGCGCTTTCCCTAATGAGGTAAAGTTCGCAAACTGGGACACTACTTCCGGTTTTGCGGAGTTCATAAACCGAATAGTTCGTAAACAGGGCTGTTCAGAAACCGAGGTACCACTGTATTTATGCCAGACAAGGTAAATGATTGATACAGTTTTGGCCCATGGTCTACTTCAGTTCCAAAGGACACAAAATTACAGCCCATAGTTGTTATATTTCATTGTTTTATTTGTTGCTAGCAGGGAGTGCCCGGAGCTGCCCAGGTATTTTTAGGAACCAAAAAAGATTGTGATTTTTAAACTGATAGTGCCATTTGTGAGTTTGGATCTGTCACGCCAAAAACTGGGTGACATCAATGCAAAGTCATGTTTTGGTCTGCCAGCTTGTTTCAAAATGGCTCCTGGCATCCAAACACTGATGAAGACCGCCGCCCCAACTCGGAAACCCTTGTGCCATGTTCAAGAATAATCTCTCAAGAGGTGTCTGAATATACAGAGAACAAACAAACCAGCAAACCTCTTTCCAAAAATATAGCAGATACTATTTCAGGCTCTTTACAGATCTCCCAGGTAGTTTATCCTGGAAATACAGCCATAAAATTCCTGATCACCATGAAAAGACAACACATGCACATTTCACACCTGAGTGGCATGTCAGTATTGTGTTACTCCTATAATACACCCAGTTACAAAAATAACTCCTATGAAGTTATCTATTTAAGTGTCTTGACAGCCTGGCAAGTTTACAATGAAAGCATTCCAAACAGCTACAATTCTGCTATTAATGGAGCCGTAAGAAAAAGATGGTCTGGAGAAGTATGGAACTCCCTTAACAACGCAGTCAACATGTGACAATACAGACAAGTACTAATGGAAGATGTGGAAATAAGTTAGTGGTGGCCTCCCAGTTTCAAGACTTGTAAGCTGCAGGGCAAACAGCCAAGAAGGCCTAGGAAATATTTAACAGCTTTCAGATGGGTGCATCATTGAGATGCAGTGAGATGGTGCCTGCCATTCATTTAGGTATCACAGTCACAGCAGGATGGCCTGGGACAGAAGTCAAATAGGAGAGAAAATTGGAGGGAGGGGAGAAACTAATGCTTTAGACTTAATGTAAAACACAGCACTGTACTTGCTTCATATGTTAAGCAAAATTGAAATCAGTATCCTCTGTGCTTCTAGTAATATAGCCACTCTTGTTAGCCACTCTTGACACACTGGTTAGAATGAGTTATAATTAAAGTTTTAAAAAGACTAAGTAAGAAGTATGGTTCATATGAGGATCAAAGTTTTAACTGGTGATGGTATCTGCAACACAATTCTGGCTTTAGAATTATTACAGAAGCAGATGTAGGAGTTGAATATACAGAAGTAGCTGAAAGTTGAAATGAGCCTAAGAACACAAAGAGCCCTCTTGGATCAAACAAAAGGACCATCTATAGTCCAGCATCCTGCTCTCGCATTGCCACAGCCCAACTAGCGCATTCATGGGCAAGTTTTAGATTTTTGCCTGCATTTCAAAAGGACAGAGACTTGGATGATAATAAAAGTAGCAGCAGCTCCTATAGTGAAGCAGCAGACATTCACACAGCATCTAGGCTGACATCTGCTCCATAAATGTAAAGCCCATGGTTTCCCCCCAAATAATCCTGGGAACTGTAGATTACTCCTCACAGAGCTACAATTCCCAGCCCACTTAAACTTCAGTCCCCAGGATTTCTGGGGAGAAGGCACGTGCTTTAAATATGCTTTAAATGGCAGAATCAGAGACTTGTAGAGTTGGAAGGGACCATGAGTTAACTGGTCTACAATTCAAGAATCTTTCACCCAATATGGGGCTCAAACCCACAACCCGAAGATTAAGAGTCTCATGTTCTACCGACTGGGCTATTCATGTATGATATGGGTGTGACCTCTACATCCACATAGGCCTGAATGCTGTCATTTAGACCAGACATTTTGTAGCTTTGTCATCAGATGCAGAAAACTGGCACAATTTCATTTCTGACAACACAAAAAGCAAACCAAAGTTACGCTGACAGACTTGGCAAAGGTCCCAACTACATTAACCAGAGTGGGACAGACATTTTAAATGCACAGTGACCGCAGCCTAAGGACTCTTGTTTCTTTAGTTTACGTAAATGTATCCATCTGCAGTGGGGCGGCTGCTGCTGCTGAATACCAGGCTAAGCAACTGAAGAAGAAAAAGGGAGAACCCTGGAAAGAGATCAAAACGAAAACACATCTACTCAAAACGCTAAGCTGAGAGCACCCTCTGGTGTACACATAAATCCTGAACAGCTAAAATAGACTAAGGAATGACCGCAAGTGGATGTAAAAAGCCGCCCTTGCTTGGGCTTACAGTGCTAAGTTACCATCATGCTAAGAACACCCATTGCAGAGCATGTCATATACAAAATATTTCAGCCAAAAACTCAAAACACATCAAACAGAGGTACTGAATAAAACAGCATTAAATACTCAAAAGATGAAGAGTGGAGAAGAAGCTGAAGAAAATAAATGTGTGCTAACCACACATGTGTGCTAAGAGGCAATTCTGACCTCCCAGATTTAATCCTACTGCTTCAGGCATTGTAAGCCTGGATTTTCTTTTAAACTGTGTGTATTGCAACATGCCTAAACAAACTCAACAGGTTGCAAAATACACACAAATGGCAGCTTGTGCAATCCAACCACTTCCAAAGTACAGTGCTCCCTGGTTATGAACTTAATTCATTCTGGAGGTCAGTTCTTAACCTGAGGTACCACTTTAGCTAATGGGACCTCCCGCTGCCGCTGCGCGATTTCTGTTCTCATTCTGGGGCAAAGTTCTTAACCCGAGGTACTACTTCCGGGTTAGCGGAGTCTGTAACCCGAAGTGTTTGTAACCCGAGGTTCCACTGTACCAGCTTCTACACAAATAGGGTAACCTTTGAGGACCCAGAGATTCACACCCATTCAATGTACCTGGAACAAAGCATACTGAATTGTATTCTGCTTCTTTAAAATGTAGGCATAGGTAACTCTTAAGACTGAAGTGTAAAGTGAACCTTAATCAAAACTATCATCATTAATCAAAAGACAACTAAAGGCAGCCCTGTTTGGGGAAGTTTTTAATGTTTAATGCTGTATTGCTTTTGGCACTTGATTGGGAGCCGCCCAGAGTGGCTGGGGAAGCTCAGCCAGATGGGTGGGGTATAAATTATATTATTATTATTATTATTATTATTATTATTATTATTATCATATCATATTCAGATTCCAAAATGGCAATGCTTCAGTAAGCTCTTGATCTCACTCAGGGAAAGCCAGGCTCATTAATTTTAAAACCTCTTGCACAAACACCTAAGAGGAGGGCACTCCTGCTCAAATGTCTAACAGTTGCTGTTTTCAAGCTCAGAAAACAAAACCATACTAAAATGGTTGAGGCTCAACAGCAGAGCCACGGAAGCCTCCAGGTGGTACTTCCAAAAGCATCCAAAAGTTTTGATTAACGTTCACTTAACACTTCAGTCTTAAGCGTTCCCTATGCCTACATTTTAGGGACGCGGGTGGCACTGTGGGTAAAACCTCAGAGCCTAGGACTTGCCGATCGCATGGTCGGTGGTTCGAATGCCCGCGGCGGGGTGAGCTCCCGTCTTTCGGTCCCAGCTCCTGCCCACCTAGCAGTTTGAAAGCACCCTTAAGTGCAAGTAGATAAATAGGTACCGCTTTATAGCGGGAAGGTAAACGGCATTTCCGTGTGCTGCACTGGTGCAGGCTCGCCAGAGCAGCTTCGTCACGCTGGCCACGTGACCCGGAAGTGTCTCCGGACAGCGCTGGCCCCTGGCCTCTTAAGCGAGATGGGCGCGCAACCCCAGAGTCGGACACGACTGGCCCGTACGGGCAGGGGTACCTTTACCTTTACCTTTTATGCCTACATTTTAAAGAAGCAGAATACACTTGGCCCTGCCACTTCTGCCAGCAGCACTGATTTGGGGCAGGATCGCATCCATTTTAGTGAGTTCTCACCCAAAATTGGCACAATCTTGCCTGAAATCATTGCTGCCCAGCAGGGCTCATGACAGTGGCAGAGTGGGCAGGGCTGGTGGCAGCAGCAGCAGGTATGGTGGGGAGGGAGCTCTGCCCCAATAAACAGAGTTCAAACTGTTAGCTTGAAGTGGCGTGTAAGTCTCCCAGCCTTCCTACATTACAGGGGTGAGGAACCTTTGGCCCTCCAGACGTTGATAAACCACAACTCCCATCATCCATGGCAATTGACAATGCTTGCTGGGGCTGATGGGAGTTGTTGTTCACCAACATCTGGAGGGCCGAAAGTTCCCCACTCTTGCTGTCTGCTAAACCCTGAAAAAGCACAACCCATCTCTGCCCTGATCTGTGCAGGATCAAATACTACCTCCAACCAGTGTGGTACATTAAACGTTTGATCTTTACACTAGTCATTATCAAACCATATGTTGCATCGCAGATGAAAGAACAACTAATGAAATCAATTAAGTCATTCAAAGCTCTCATGAGGCCCTGACCACTTTTTCAGTGAGCCTCCTACAAGGGCAGTTCTGTGCTGACTGGACCAGAAGTGATCTAATTATGTCATCATACCCGATACACGGATGTATGTTAGAATTACCTGCCTTCAAAGGAGGTCAGTTGTGGCAACTCTGTACAAGTCACTATTCTGGGCTGACCCCATTCTATCCAATCTTTTCAGATGCAGGAGTTAGGTTTTCCACCCATTTCAGTTCAGAAAAAGAGTGTGCCTCAACTCTCAGAAATCTGAGGAAAAGCTAACCTACCCATTGAAATGCAGAATTAATATGCCATTATTGCTGCAAACACTATCCTAAGAATCTGCAGGTTGCTGCAAGATGTAGGATTGTTATCTTTCAAATGCAAACGAAGTATGCTCCTAACTTCACCAACCCACTCAGAGAACTTATCCTTCCACCTCCAAGGAAGGAAAAGTTGCACAGGTTACCTGTAGAAACTCCTCTCCCAAGTTTTCAAAGCTGGTCAGACATATCCAAAAGATGGGTTGTCCTTGGTAAAAAACATAAGAATCATAGAGTTGGAAGGGACCATCTTGAAAGGAAGGAAGGTAGGTAGCTAATGGATCAGAAGCAGAAATCCAGTGGGTCAGGGATGAGCAGGAGTTACACCATGATCTGCTTACGCATTTCTGGTGAACTACTTAAAGCTTTCTGATTGCTGGAAATCTTGTAAAGAATGTTGTACTAAGTCCAGCAAGGGACTTAAGCCAGAGTACGTACCCAGCATCGCTTAGCACAGATTAGTTATATGCTGTAACTGTTAACATAGGAATCCTAGATCATTGAGAAGCAGGTCTATTTGTATTCTAGTCACAGCCTAACTTAAAACATCCTGTATCAGGGATTTGGAACCTGTGACTCTCTAGATGCTGTAGGACTATAACTGATCATTCCTGGCCATTGACCAAGTTGCCTGCAACTGAAGGAAGTTAGATCCAACATCTGGAGGGTAGCAGCTTCCCCATCCTGACCTATGCAGTGTACATGATGTGTGTAGCTCCAGTTAGCTGAGACACTTAATCCCCACTCATCAGCCTAATAATCCAGCTCTGTTTGCCTGCAAATCTCATAATGTCCCACCCAACCTGTACAAATCAAAAAGCAAGAGATAGGCCCTTGGCTGGACCTTGTGTATGGGGGTCCCAAGCTGTCTCCAATGCAAACAGCTCTTGGTCTTCTTTACCTTAATATTGTAGGCGGAATTTATTTTGCATGTGCAACAAAGATCCTTTATCAAGATTCCAGTCTCTGAATTGACAGCTTTTTAAAAGTTTTGCATAAATATTAAGGAGCTGTAATTGAAGACTAAGCAGTGGTAGTTAAGATGGCTTAGAAAAAAATGCAAGCAGTTGTTAATTGGACAATGTATTTAATACCAGGCATACACAAGTACACTGCCTAGACCCAAAGTCTAAGGAGACAAGCATACAGCTTCCTACATATTCCAGCTTGAAACAGACCTTGAATCCTTTCCCCATCCCACTTTCTTAAAAGATAACAAATGGGTGTCATATACAACTTACATAATATCTTATTCAATGCGGTGTGTAACACCCTAGGCAAGCCTTCCCTTTCGATAAAGCATGTTGAATCAGATTTGTATTTTAATTATGAAAGGCTCAACTTTAAACTAACAGCAGGAATAGAATCATAATGTAGAGACAAATGCTTGAACTTATCTCCCCTGCATGATGTAACTAGATCTGTTCATGCTGTTAACTAGAGGCAGGAGGGCTGAGCCCATTTGTCTATTTAGAAAAAAAACATATCCCAAGTTTGTCCTGGGGAGGGGTGTTCCTCTATTCCACATCAATATATTAGAACGAGATTAAACATTCTCCTGCTCACTTCCCAGACAAGACCATTCACCATACAGTATATCTGATAAACTGCTGAGCTGGTTGGGCAGGCAGTACATATAGCCAATCTTAGTAAGTGCTGCACTGCTAGGCATATATCCATTTACAGAACAGGTGCAAAGGCTTCTCTGACCTCATGGCGAAGAGACAGACTTAGCTGCTCAGGTCATTCTCCAGATTGCAGCAGAACATTTGCTCTCTTGCCTTACAAGCTTCAGTTACTTTCAAGTTACAAATGCTCAGAACGGTTAAAAAAGAAATCATGTAAGTCTCTACATCATGTTTGTTTTTTTAAAAAATTCTGAAAGCACCTAAATATTTTTTTAAAAAAATGCACTGTCTCCTAGGCAGGAACTCAGACATGTTACCATGGTCTCAGAACAATATAAACACAAAACGACAAATGCTCCACTTCAAACTTATTCTGCAGACAAGACTTTAATTCTCTTAGACTAATTGTATTCAAATCTTCTACCTTCAGGGAAGCCTTTCTATACAGATATGTCTGCCAAGGGACCCCTACGTATTGGCCATGGAACTCCAATATGCTACAAAGGACTCTGAGGTGTGTTTTGGGGTTCTACTTGGTATACACTTGGTTCATTTGGTCACTAACTAAGCTGGTTGGGTGTTGCCATTACCACAAAACAAGCACAACCTACGAACACAGTATTATTTCATGTTTACATGATGTATGGGAAGAATAGTAGTGGTCGGTTAACTGTATTTCAGGAAATCTCGTCTATGGATCTTTTCACTAATAACCTCATAAGAGTCCAAGGAAACTCAGAATTTCCCAGAACGCAATTTAAAAACCACTAGGACACAGTTACCGGATTGCTAGCAGTCAAAACAATGAAGTACATGGGCCTAAATGTCTTCCAGGTCAGGTCAGATTAACAAGGGACCCTAATACCAAGTTAAAAGCCCTGCTGGCAATTCCCCTCCTCTACCTCCATGAACTGGCTCAACTCCACTCATAACTCCATTAGCTAATACTGTACAAAATTAAAGTACATAGACAACTGGTCTGATGTATCTCTGAATAACAGAAAACTGTAATCAAAGCCAGTTTTTTTCTACCCAGCTCCAGGCTGGACATTTCATGCCCAAGGAGGGCTTACACTGTTGAACAGTGAAGATACACAAAGTGATTATAATATGTTTATATGCTGGACAGTTAGTTGGCCTCCTAACAGAACCTGCAGAACTTTTCAGCCATTAGTATTAAGTGCAGTAAAGAAAAAACATAACCCTGCTCTTCGTACAACTAAGTTTGCTCTTTTTTTCTGGTGTCTCAATACATTACACCACTGTGCAGATGCATGTAGGATCAAAGGGCAGAACTTCAATGCATCCCACACACTGTGCCTGAAGCATGAATTGCAGGTGTTTCTGATAAGGATGTTGGGAAACAGACAACTACAGTAATTTTCTGGCTGGAAACAGACCTATGGTCTCACTTGCTCAACAGCCAATCTCCAAGAAGAGACAACAATCAGCACCATGGAAGATACCTCAAATTCATGCATCAAGCATAGTTTAAAATTTGTCTCAGAAAGTCCTACTTCTAACTACCAGGTGCCAGTTCTGTTTGAACAGCTTTCTGAATATTCCAATTTATCTTACAAAATTAGAGACTTATTGATTAAAGGGCTCGTTCACACTTCCACTTGTCCTGTGCTTAAAGCATAGGTCCGAGCAGTTTTCCTCTTGACCAGTGCTTTCTAGGCACAGGTCTGAGCATCTCTGCCCTTCCCATGCTCCTTTCCCAGAGAAAATCTGCTCTTTAGCTCTAAAATGGAGCAAACATCAATCCAGAAAAAAACTGAATTACTGTTTGCTCCAGTTGAGAACTAAAGAGTGGTTTTCCCTGGGGGAAAGCAGTGGGACAAGAGGAAGTCTGGGTAAGTCCTAACATATAAAAGCAGCAAGTTATTCAGGCACCTTGCAGGTGCACATACTTCCCACTTTCAGGATGAAACATAAAAGCCCTTGAGCAATCCTGAACTGAGATGTTCAATGGACTACAGTAACTCATAAACTGCACCATACACATTCCACTCTCTATAGGATTATTAGAAATCACACAGTGGCAGTACAAAGAAGCCAGACTTATTGGTAAATCCTACATAGACACCTGTCTAAAAAGAAAAAAAAGCCAGCCAGGTGGATCCACATTCATACTGATGGATAGAAAAGTGCTTTGCACATTCACTCACTTAGCAAACCAAGTTACACTGTTCACATTTTCAAGAGACTTTATTAAGTTTCAGTTATTATACAGTATTCCATGCTTGCATCAGTACACCAGACCCATTTAAATAAAATATTGTGAAGGTGAAGAAGTTTTGCAACCCATAATACTGCTAGACAAGCCAGAACATTATCACATCAAGGCAGACTTGCACAATGAGAATAAGATGGGGTTGAACCAGGTTCTCTTGAGCAATCAAAAATACATTGTGTGCCAAAGAACAGCATAATAAAGTAGCAGTATCATGTGAAACAAGCATCTTTATCTGAAATGATCTAAACAAAATTTATACATCACTATACTAAGAGGCATATGTTGCAATTTCAAGAATGAGGGAACATTTCTAATGATGGTTATTGCATTTTAAACATCCTTCCTCTACGACCACTCACTGAGCTTCTTCCTGGAACATCTCGGAGCCGAGGATTTTTTTTTATTATGGTAGGAGTATATGTGCAGAAAACCACCACTTATCTAATATTCTAATGGCAGTATGGTTATCGAAACACATCTCACCTAAGAGAAACAATGGCTTGGAATATATCTCAACAGCAGCACTTAGCCACTTCATATTTTAAGAACAAGAAAAATGAGACAGGAAGTCATTACGTCAAGTGTGAAAGAATTAAGTACTGCAATAAGCATGCAAGCATGCAAGGAAACACCCACGAAAAAGACCATCGAAATAATAAATAATAATGGCAGTACTTTATATAATTTAACTGGAGCAACTGAGGCTGGCGTCCTATGCAAACTTGCAGGTGTCACAGAACTCCCTCTTAGGCACGCCAGCAGTTTGGGAGGCTTAAGGCTGCACGTCCTGCATAGAAATGGTGCAAAGTACGTGCCACCAAAGGACTGCCCTACCCTGGAGCCGATTAAATGAGAAAGCTTATCCCCTTCCTGCTCTCCTTTAGCCAACGCGCGCCCATCCTACTGTGGACCCATTCGATGTACGCACATGCGTGCCTTCACTCGCGCGCCCCTGGGCACAAATTGCCGCGCATGCGCCCCCCGCGAGCCACAGTCCCACGCGTGCGTCGTACCCACCAACCTCCCCTCAGGTCAGAGCGCAAGGGGCAGAATTTCCCACGGGGCAAGAGGGCGGCCACCGGGGCGCAACCGCTTCCCCTTCCCGGCCTCCGTTCGTCCCCCTCACCTCATAGTACTTCATAGCTCCGCACTCGGCGCTGCCACAGCCCGGCACCCTTTCTCTTCACGTGACACCCTAACCTCATTGAAAAGGGGCGCGGCACGAGGATCAGGACGGCGAATGACAGGGATTCGGGCTCAGGTGCCCAACCAATCAGGGGATTAGGACGGCCCCACCCGCCTACATACCCGCCCCAAGCGTCCCTATGGAAACACGTGGCGCGTGACAGCAACCGAGCCAATCAACGGGCAGGGTGATAAGAGTGGCAGGCTAGTGAAGCTGTTACAAAATTCGACGAGGGGGCGGTGGGTGAGACATGAGCCAATCACAATAGGCCATAGAAATGCAATAACTCTTTTGCGACTACTGTACTGCTGTAAGTGATAGGCTGAGCTGCGGAAAGCCTGGCATAGGAGTAAGTCTTGCTGAACTCAGTGGAACTCGGAGATCATAGAATCATAGAATTGTACAGTTGGAAGGGATCCTGAGGATTATCAAGTCCAATCCCTGCAATGCAAGACTCTCAACTGCATAATACATGCGAGATGGCCATCCAACCTCTGCTTAAAAAACCCCAAGGAAGGAGAGTCCACCAGCTTCCAAGAGAGCCTGTTCCACTGTCAAACAGCTCTTACCGTCAGAAAGTTCTTCCTGATGTTTTGTCTTAATTTCCTTTCTGGTTACCTGAATACAGTGGTACCTCGGGTTACAGACGCTTCAGCTTGCAGACGCTTCAGGTTACAGACTCCTCTAACCCAGAAATATTACCTCGGGTTAAGAACTTTGCTTCAGGATGAGAACAGAAATCACGTGGCGGCAGTGGGAAGCCCCATTAGCTAAAGTGGTACCTCGGGTAAAGAACAGTTTCAGGTTAAGAATGGACCTCCGGAATGAATTAAGTTCTTAACCCGAGGTACCACTGTACATTGGTTCAGATCCTACCTCTGGAGCAGGAGAGGAAGAGGGAGAAGCAAACCAGCATTCTGGCTGTTGCTCCCTCTGGAGGAAAGCAAGTGTTCATTAGAAATACCTTTAAGCAGCAGCTCCAAGCCATCCCGGTTTCTGATTCGATCCCAGAATGTCTCACTTTTCCTTAAAGGTAAAGGTAAAAGGACCTCTGACCATTAGATCCAGTCGTGACTGACCTGGGGTTGCGGCGCTCATCTCACTTTATTGGCTGAGGGAGCCGGCGTACAGCTTCCAGGTCATGTGGCCAGCATGACTAAGCCGCTTCTGGCGAACCAGAGCAGCGCACAGAAACGCCTTTTACCTTCCCGCCGGAGTGGTTCCTATTTATCTACTTGCACTTTGACGTGCTTTCGAACTACTAGGTTCGCAGGAGCAGGGACCGAGCAACGGGAGCTCACTCCATTGCGGGGATTCAAACCTTCTGATCGGCAAGTCCTAGGCTCTGTGGTTTAACCCACAGCGCCACCCGCGTCCCTCACGTTTCCTTAGGACGTCCCTATTTTTATTGGCAAAATGTTGGATGGCATTCCTTTATGGCAGACATAGGCAAACTCCGGCCCTCCAGATGTTTTGAGACTACAATTCCCATCATCCCTGGCCACTGGTCCTGTTAGCTAGGGATGATGGGGATTGTAGTTCCAAAACATCTGGAGGCCCAGAGTTTGCCTATGCCTGCTTTATGGCCTACAAAGTTATTGGCAGGCTAACATTATAGGCAGTATATTGCAAGAAGACCACTGGGCCGAAACTGACAATAAAAGTCTACTGGTGCAGTCTTTCTCTAATCTCTAATAATAATAGGTTCGAAACTTAATCCCACAACAGTAATGGCATAGCAAGGCCAGAAAAGAAGGGCCCTGCTACTGCCACCTAGTGGCTATAACATTACTACTTCTTAATTACAGTCCACCACAAATCCTGGTAAACCATAAAAGCTTCCACAATATTGCCAGCACTGAACCTCAAAGAGTTCTATTGCAAAGTACAATCCCTACAGCTCAAACACAACACCCCATTCAACTTGCAGAGAAGAAATTCCTTCTCATCCCTGTACCACAGGCCGCGACATAATAACACATGATCAGCCGTCTCCTCCACTGCACGTACTTCACAGGAATCAAGGTTGGTCTTCTCAATGTTAAACAAATTACTCTGAAGAATGCAGTGCCCTGTCAAACCATAAACAGACTAATCTGTCTCATCTGTTTGCTGACTAAAGATCCAGACGAAAAACGTAAACCCTCCTACCAGCTGCATCTTTTTCAATGTCTTCAAGCATTATGCTCCTGCTTAACTCAACGCTTCTAGGAAAGACAAAGGTAATACATTATCCATTTATACGTGTCCCAAAGCATATTTGTCAGGCTGAACCTCAGTCTCATATATAATTCCCATGTGGACTGAAACCCAATAAAAACCAGACCCAGAGACCTTTTCATTGTAGTTAAAAATCATGGACAGCACAGCGCATTTAACCTCCGTACAAACAAACCAAAATGAATGCTCATTAAATAGCCAACTTCATCTAATTCCCCTGCAAAGAAACCAGAATGAATGCTTAATAAACAGGTCATCTGGAAGAGCCCTCTGTTTGCACAATGCAAGATGCAGTTATCTGGTACAGTTTCATCATAAATACAACATGGTCGATAGTGGCAAGGAAGACAAATATGGGAAGGAAGCCTAATAGTCTCATAAAGCTGCTGAGACAAGCCAACAGAAGTATAATACAAGAAAAGAGAAGAAGGAAATTATTACAGATCTAAAGTCTCTGTGTGGTTGAGGAAGAGCCTCCCATTTATTTTAGCTCCTTTGCTTAATCCTCTTTCCTTAGCAAATGCCCTTCATATGTACTGTGCATACTGCAAGGCTATTTCAAGCACAGGTTCTATTAATATAGCCTCTGGAAAACAGTACAGGCAAATGAATAATTGGAGGAAATAACTTAAAAGGCCAACACTGTCTGAGGCTTCACTTTTCTATTTGTAATCTCCCCTGCCCTGAAAAAGTCATTATTTCTAGGACAGCATTTCAAATTAAAAGCAGTGCTTTTTTCTGGGGGGATGCAGGGGTACACATACCCTAAACATTTTCTAACCTTTGTACTTTTGTCCATATATTGTATTTATTTTTCCCAATTTGAACTATAACATGATGATTTTCTTGAGTCAAAATGCGAGTACCCCTAAACATTTTTTTAGGGGGGAAAGCACTGATTAAAAGAATCTTCTTCAGATTAATAATTCAGCTAACATGTAGCAAACAGAGATGCTTATGCCTAGATTTCCAGCATTGGGATGGGATATGAAGAGCTTTAAAAGGCTGGATTCATCCCCCATATATCCCCCTGACGCTTTTAAATCACTATATTCCTCAGACCGTGGAAACTTTACCTCACCCAGGCAGACAAATTCTGGAAGAATTGGTTGCAGTCCTAGATAGCCAGAGGATAGCAGTGAAGAAGCATGCACATAGCTGCAGGTGTGTTTAAGGTCTCTTGCAACTGGTTGAACTGGCAAGCCAGATTTAAAATAGGAGAGTCCCCTTTGCCCCTTTCACCAAGTGACTAGCTGTCGCAAAGACTCCTGCGCTTGTTCTTCTCCCTTGACCACCTGCATTATGACTGTCTAAGATTGGGGCCTTGTCTGTGTTCAAGAAGACTCCTAAGGCTTTTTGAGCTTTGGGGGCAAAAGTCAACTGAAGTGGGCAAAAGTGATGGTCTTGCTCTATAAATTAGTGAGAATTATACCTCAGAAGATGTAGGCATGCAGAAGGTCCCAGGGTGGAATTCAATGCAGCACTGAGTGGGGTAAGCATGTATGGAACAACATCTGCTTATATGATGAGATTTCCCCCACCCCCTGCACCCCAAAAACCTTTATTTGGGAAGAAATTTGTGGGATGTGGGTGGAGGAGAGGAGAGAAAAGTCCTGTTGCACAGGTGGACATCATTCCATGCACACAACAACTTACAGTGGTACCTTGGGTTACATACGCTTCAGGTTACATACACTTCAGGTTACAGACTCCGCTAACCCAGAAATAATACCTCGGGTTAAGAACTTTGCTTCAGGATGAGAACAGAAACCGCGCAGCGGTGGCACAGCAACAGCGGGAGGCCCCATTAGCTAAAGTGGTGCTTCAGGTTAAGAACAGTTTCAGGTTAAGAACAGACCTGCGGAACGAATTAAGTACGTAACCAGAGGTACCACTGTAGTTGACTCCTGCCCCAGGTTCTTTCCCATCCATTCCCAGTTAAAACGTTCTGTGATGGAACAGCGTCATTTTCACACCATATATTTAAAGCACATGACTTCCCTCAAATAACCATGGGTTTTCACCTCACAGAACTACAGTTCCTAGCATCTTTAACAAACTACAGTTCGCAGGATTCTTTGCAGGAAGCCACGTGCTTTAAATGTAAGGTGTGGGTGTGACATGTTGGAAACAATCTCTGCTGCAGACCTTGAAGAATTTCTGCTTATTACCGTAAGTAATATTGGGCTAGATGTTCTCCACGGTCTGATTCCATATAAAATAGCTTCATATTCTGACATGTACTTCCAAGTAAACATGCACAGGATTGTGCTGTAAATCTGTTAGTGGTCATTTATCATGGCCGCTGAGTTTTCAACCCATATGTATATACAGCTATATTATCAGTCCACTTCACCTTAATTGTGGAGCAAATTATGCAAATTCATGGCTCAACAAATAAGTCTTCCACCTCACCTTAAGGTTTAGAGGCATGGACGCACCTGGGAGAATTTTCATTCCTTTTTCCTGCTGTGAAATATTTCCCCCTTTGCCAGTTTCAAGGCCTTGAGCTATGTGCAAAATATGTTCTGGTGTCACTTTTGTCTGAACATGTTGAGTGACTAGAAGACACTTCTGTTGCACAACCTTTTGTAATACTATACTAACCTTAAACTGGTTTGTGCCTAATCAGCAGTTTGCCTGTAGAAGGGTGTTCACCCATGGAATTTAGCACTGTTGCCTAATGTCTGCATCTGGCAAAATACAGGTGGATGTGATTAACTGTACACACTGCATTACTTATACTTTTTCTTTGTTCGTCATGTAGCTAAGAACTGGATTCACTCCTGCCTGAACTAAACACACACACACACAATAATTTGAGAGGGAAAATAGGTTCATTGACATCCAAGGCCAGAGGCTTCTTTCACACAACTTATGGTACTGTTCAGACATTTAATAGCTTGAGAGGCTTGGTGCAGACTCATAGTTTTTTTTGTGACCCCTTTAATCTTTTTAATGAATCACGCATTTAATTATTT